TGAGACAGCTACTGACCAGACTGGAGGAATGGACATCGCCATCCGACGGTCGAGGTGTTGATGTCCATAGCCTCCAAGGACCCTTATCGACGCTCGCAGGAGAATTGCTAACTCGCGAGATTGATGTGTCCGTGGAGACCATTCGGACAGAACGCGCGCAGGCGGCCATCGCATACATTGTCCTTAGCCAGCAGAGAGGATTTGAGGTCAACGAAACGTTGCGCCAGTCGATTCAGACTTGGAGAGCAGGAGAGCGATCGGGACCAGTGCAACAGATTCTCGATCAGGCGCTGGCGAAGTTGATACGGTGAGGAGGGATTCTTCATGCACACTGTCATGTCTATACTATGCGAGGAGTCACGCTCCGCAGCGTTGGACCTGGATATCATTGCCAGGGAAGGAGAGAACCCATATACCTATTGCATTCTATATGTACCTAGAGTAGACAATATTCAATAATGGAAGTCATTTCTGCCTCAGGTGTCCACTATACTACGGATACCACGCGGGCCGAAGCATTCGAACCATAATCATACATTCCTGTCACAAAACCCTCAACTGATATGATTAATGCCATTCGCTCGTTCTCTCGTACTTTCGAATCGCCCTCTTGACCTTAGCGCCTTCGTGGAGCTGTCGAGCCAATGATCTCTGGCAAAAGCGCCGTGGGGTTCACACCCCGGCGGCTATTCAGCCAGTCTCTCTTCGTCCTCGCCATTCTTCATGAAATGGATGGACGAGGGGGGAGAAGACCGTGAGGGATTGCCTGGAGCCTTCTCTATGAAGTTGTAACAGTACTTGATCCTGCTTCTCCCCTAAAAAAATAAAAAGCGCTGGTAATCTCACTAATAACTAAATCCGTCCCACTATAGGACTCCGCATCGAACGACTTCTCCCCGATCGCAACACACCCTCTGCTGTCCTGAAATCCTGCCTGGAAGGCCGGATTGATATTGATCGACAACTAGATCTATCCTCCTGCTTCCATTGCATCTGCGTGGTGGCGCAGGTACTACGGAGTACAAGTGCAGACTACGGGGTACAACAGTACTGCTACTCTCACCATGAGTCCTACTGGGAGTCGCCAGGTCCCTGAGGGAGAGCTGTTCCTCTCCTCACCACCTGCACCAGTTGAATCACCAATCGTCGGGCCTCTACGGATCAACAAGTATGATACTAGAACCCCGTCTCCCGCATCGAAACACAGTGCCACTCCACCATACCCAGACGACCGTCCTCGTCCATATCAGACATCCGGTTCCAATTCGACAGGGGGGAGTGACCGGACGGGATCCCCAGCAATGAACATTCAAACGTCTACACCAGCTGTCCCCGGCCCATTGAGACCGTCGGATTATCCTCCAGCTTTGCGGCCGCGGGACGGTCGTGAAGCCAGACCGGTTACTCTGGCAGAGAGGCGGGGAAATGCTCCCAAACCCTTGCCAGAGTCGCCTGGTCCAGATGTACCGGATAAAGAAGGACTGTTTCGCAAATACACGCGAGTTCCAGCTGCAGCTCCTCCTGCACCGAATGGCAATGCATGTGCGAATTACCGGCAACAATACTACCCGCCTCCCCAACCCTCATCTACTCCTAAGCTTGCTTCAGCAGCCGCGACAGCATCGCACTTACAAATTCCGAATGGAAATAATGCGATCGGCCGGATTAGCTCGACAGCATCGAGTTCGACCACCCGCGCTCAACGGGGTTCTCCTCCCCCGCCAGAAACTCCCGTGGCTGGTCCCGGCCAACAGCCGGGATCTGATATCGAGGCCCGATACGCAGCTTCTGGGATCGCTGGAACGTCGACGCTAGCCGGTCTTCAAGCGCAAAACTCTGCTGCACAGAGAAGGGCGGAGCCCTACGCTCATCAGCCACCAAGGCGGCCATGGACCCCGACCGAACAACCAGGGACCCAACCACATGGACCTCCGACAGTTTATCAAGGCGACAGCATTGTGAGCGCCGATAATCCACCGGCTAGTCCTATCCCAATCCAGCATACGGTTCCACCTTCGCAGTCGGCCCCGCCTCAGCAGCAGCCATCGAGGATTCCACCAAATGCATTGGAACAGGACCTTGACAGGATGCGGATCTCTTCCTCTCCCCCTCCGGCCTACTCGACTGTTTCGGGACCGGCTGCCTCTCAAGGGTATCCCGTCGAAAAGCAGCGCCCAGCTACTTCGTCGGCTCCTCCCGGGCACCCGGCAATAACGGCTCCAACAAACGGGGCTACTATGCCTGCTAACGGTGCTGCCATCGCATCGCCAATGGTCACCGCTCAGAACCATCCAGCTTTTGCAAATGACCCAAGACCATCCACGCATTCTCCTCAGAATGGCATGCAGAATGGGCAACAGGTCGCCTTTCAGCAGCAGCAGCCACAACAACAGCCACAGTTGCCGCCGCAGCCCTTGGTCAGCCCATCTCCGGCACCGTCGGGCATGCCTCCGGCATCTCCTCCACCGCTACCAGAAGGTTGGATGGCGCATCTAGACTCCAACTCTGGGCAATACTATTACATTCACCTGCCGACTCAGTCGACGCAGTGGGAATTCCCCAAGGGCCCGACCCCGTTGAATCTCAATGACACGCCATTGTCTCCGGTAGGCAGCATTTACAGCAGTCATCCTCTTGCGTCCCCGGCATTGTCTACGTTTAAGCCTATGGTATCCCCGGGCCTTCCTCTGACACCAGGTTTCGAAAGCCTGCAATCCCCTGTCATGGGTGGTTTCACTGGGCCCCCTCCCAGCTGCGGGGTCGATTTGTACAAGGTAGCGCCAACAAACGCCGTCTACTTTGGGCCCTACCTTCGATACACCAACATGGACATTGAGCACGGCATTTGGCTGGGTTCCATTCTTCTGGTCACCGATGCCGCCCAACCACCAACAATACACCTTCACCAAAGTCTCGACCTGTCACCTAGCCCGCGCCAATTGAAAGCCGTTGGCATTGCTACTCACCAACGATGGACATTCTACAGGTATGACGTCGACTTGCAGATGGACGAGTCTGGGCCTGCAAAATGGACCTATGCCATCACATCACACTTGGGTTGTACCAGATACGAGTTCCTGGTTGCCGGTCGGTATGAGACGAATTGGCGTTTTATCACAACCTCTGGAAACGACTTCTCTCTAAACGTCAACGCCAATGATCGAGCCCGTCTGGGAGGTGTGGGACTCATGTGGAAAGATATCATGCAAAAGCATAATGAGATCGGGGGTTTCCACACCCAGTTATGCCTTGGGGGTCAGATTTACGCAGATCGAATGTGGAAGGAGATCGCATCACTGAAACAGTGGCTTGCGATCAGTGGTAAAGATGCCAGGAAGAACATGCCTTGGACGGCGGCGCATCAGGAAGATGTTTCTCATGCGTACTTCCACTATTACACAAGCCACTTTGACCAGCCTTATGTGAGGGAGTCGTTTGCTCAGATCCCTTATATCTGTCAGCTTGATGATCATGACATGTGAGTTTTGGTCTCCTTTTTTCTTTCCATGAATCGCAGACTAACAGGTTTTAGTTTCGATGGATTTGGCTCGTACCCTGATCATATGCAATTTTCGAACATGTTCAAAAATATTGGCCGCGTTGGTATCGAGATGTATCTGCTCTTCCAGCACCACACGACGCTCGACATCCTCCGCAACACCAGATCCGATATAGATCTGTTCACAGTCACGGGGACAGGTTGGCACTTTGTCAAATACCTGGGACCAGCGGTGGTGGTAGTTGGCCCTGACTGTCGCTCAGAGCGAAACCCACACCAAGTCATGGCGGGTCCAACATATCAGGGCATCTTCCCCAAGGTAGCTATGCTACCACCATCCGTGCAGCACTGTCTATGGATGCTCTCTGTGCCAATCATCTACCCACGACTGGAAACAGCGGAGCACATCGCACATACTGTTGCCACAGGGAAACGAGCCGTCACCGGTGCATACAACGTCCTCGGAAAGGTAACCAGCTCCGTTGCCGGCGTGGTCGGTGCAAAGGACATGGTAGGCTCCGGGTTCGATTCCGTCAAGCGTGCCGTGGGTAAGTCAGGACTCATGGGTGGGATACTAAGCCCATTTGGGGAGTTCGATCTCATGGACGAACTCCGCGATCAATGGACACATGAATCCAAAGAACTCGAAAGGACTTATCTCATCCGCACTCTCCAAACAATCGCCCAATCCAAAAACATCCGTATGACCTTCCTTTCCGGTGCCGTCAACGTCTGCGGCGCAGGCCTCGTCCACGACCCAACCCGCCCCTCAGACCATAAGACAATGTACCAGCTCATTTCCTCGTCAGTCGTTAACGGTCCACCTCCATCATACATCCTCAAACTCCTCCACAGCAGTAACAAGCCGCTCTACGTCCCCGCCAACGGCCACCGGTCCAACTCACAACCGACTGATACCAAGGAGGATATGATGGAGATCTTCCAGACAGACGTGACGGGCCAACCGCGGGAGTATCGAAAGCTGATGGGGAGAAGGAACTATGCTGCTGTCGTTGCTTATTATCCTGAGGCCGTTAGTGCGGCGTATGGGCAGCAAACAAATGGTACAGGGCACGGGGCTGGAAAGTTGAATCTTGCGGTGGACTTCATGGTGCAAGGAGAGGGGTTGTATCCGACTGTTGCCAAGTATGGGCCGGTGATTGTTCCAAGTCTGGAACCGGGGAAGTGATGGTTCTCATTTAGTGTTTTTTGATGTTTTTTGTTGAAAGTTTATATACCAAGCATGTTCTATTTGATGTACTCAGATCTTGTTGCCAATGTATATTCCACTATACAGACTTGAGTTTCTAAAGCCACTGCGACTTTCTCTGGATACCATCGCTATAATAAAAATATTTAAATGTTACTAAGGCCTAGTATCAGTCACATGGTGTCAAAGGATTTTTGCCCAACTCCACTTGAACCGCCTGGCTTAGCCCCCAAGCATCAGCCGCACTACGCACCCCTCATCCCACTGTTAGGCTGGGAATCGAATGCCACAATGAGCTTCGGCTATGGTGTGGGAGATTTCCTTGCCATTGCGAAGCTGGTCGATACAGTGCGGAAGCAATTTACAGATGCGCCAGGCCATTATAAAGCCATTTCGGATGAGTGAGTCACATAACTTGGAATCTTGGAGAGAACTCACAGGCTGCTAGTGTCAAGCGATTGTCAAATGTGCTGCACGATATTGAAGATCAAGATCCTGACGATAATATAGGGGATCAGCAGAAGCAAGCTCTAAACGATATCTCCAAAGGCTGCCACGATCTGCTAGATGGGCTGAACCGCACTCTTGTCAAATATCAAGACATAGATCCGACTGCGAGGGACGCGAATGGCGTCAGGAGAGTAGGTCGTCGAGTATGGAAGAGATTTATTTGGGACCAGAAGGAAATAGACGTGTTTCAGCAACGGATTTCGGCAAACATTGATATGTTCAATCTCTTTCTTAACGAGATCAACAGCCAATTGAACAAGGAAACAAAAGACCTGGTGGTCGTCACTCAGCAGGGAGTCAACCAGCTTGTTCAACACCAAGACGAACAGAGACGGCGAGATATCTTCAAATGGCTTTCTCCGATAAACCACGCGGACAAGCAAGCCGGCTTCTTCGGTCAGCTACAAGAAGGCACCGGGACCTGGCTCTTGGATACCAATGAATTCAAGAACTGGATAACCCAAGATCACGACACGCCGGAAGACCAATACACGCTATTTTGTCCTGAACTCCTCGGTGCAGGCAAGACTATCTTGAAGTCAGCTGTGATCAATGAGCTTCAAGAGAACTTATAATAGGCTGGGGTTGGTGTGGCTTTTTTTCTATTGTAATTTCCGGGAGAAAGTGACCCTCGATTGTTTTTTTGCCGTTATCCTATGACAGTTAATCCAACAACTACCATCTATCCCCAAGGATATGGAGACGCTCTATGAAGCGAATTTAGATTCAGGTACACGGCTCACTCTGGGAAAAGTTCTGACTGCCCTAGACTCTGCTCTATTGGAGTTCTCGAGGACTTTCATTGTTATTGATGCATTGGATGAGTGCGAACTTCCAGGCGACTCACGGAAGAGGATCGCATTCATGCTAATATTCGGTACAACCGGGCCAAACGAAACACTGTCGGCAAGGACCCCTTGACGATGATATCCTGCAATAAGACTCCATTTATCGCTGGCTGACCACAAGACTGAGCCCGGAGTGACAGCCGTATCTGACTCGTTGATATTAAATGCCCCAGCGCGTTCCGCATAGCAGGTGGATGACAGGGATTTGTTTGAACAGAGGGTATTAATGATGATTGTGCTAGCCCAATGGTCGCCAGGATAGAGATCAATCTTCTGTCTATTGCTTCCTAATTGTACACTGACGGCATGCCATGGGCCATCGGGACCGTAGGTTTAATCAGACCATGGCATTGCAAAGGGAGTGACCACTTGAACGCTGACAACTGCTTCCAACAGCCAATGGAGTAAGAAGAACAGAGCAATGGCATCCAGAGTGAAAGTGAAGTGTGTAGTCAACAAGAGAAGATCGCGGTCACATATAGGAAAATAATAGCAGACTCAGGCTCACAGCCTCCGTCAATGCGGGTATGTATTGTTGGTGTACTAGGGAGAAAGCCCGAAGAAGCAGTTCTCCAGTGATTCAGGGTCCATCAGAGACGAAAGAAGGACAACTGGAGAGCGTCAAGGCTTGATTCCTGAGCTTTTCAAGAGCCTTCCCCAAAAAAAGCCCTCGATAAGGTAGCAGATGAACAGGTTTTTTTTTTTTTTTTTTTTGGTCTTGTCAGAGAAAAGGCAGGAGGCAAAAGAGAAGCAGGACAGAGGATCGAGTCTCTTGTAATTCCACCCAGCTATTGGGCAACACATTCAAATTGGGACAAATACATTGTAGTCTTTTCAAGCTTCGTCGGAAGAAACTCGAAATGATGCCTGGTTATAACCAGATCTCTTTCCTCTGGAGCTTGGGTTTTGTATATGTAACTGCCTCACTAGCCATGATTCCCTGCATCATTTTGATGCCTCGATGATACTGAGGATTGTGGTGCATTCTTGTTTCCACTGTTGAGCCGTTTTGCGAGATCCATCTTCTTGGTTAAGCGATTGCAACGGGCTCGTGATAGTGATCCAAGAGTATACCAATTCAGTCTCGGTGGCTACTATTATAGACAGCTGTACTTTGACGTAAACCCCTTACTACATGAGCACTCTATAAGAGACGGTATCCAAAGAAGCTAACATAGTGGCCTAAGTGATATATCAGTATCTCACTCCAAACTGTATACACATCAGGGAGGAACTAGGGCTGCCCACCACTCAACTTCACACTGGTACGCCAGAGACTACTGATTCAATAATCAACAAGAGGGAACACCAGAAGAGAGAGCCGGCCTCGCACATAGTGCTCACGAGCATCCCCCCTAACCTAGCTCAAGCTTCGAATGACCGACCCAGCCTCGTGGGTGAATAAGTAATGAGGATCTGCTGTGATGAACACCTTCAAAGTTAATTGTCAAGCTATCGAATGCATCTCATGAAGGTAATCACGAAAAGACTCTTAGCACGTACAATTGGCATTTAAACTTTCCGAATGGGCCTTATGGACGATCTCGGGTCTATATAGTAAATAGTCTGAGGGTTTGTGAAGATGGTAGCTGCCGATCGCCCGCTCTCGAAGGTTGTGAACTTAATCGCAAATGGTGCCATGAGATCATATTTCGCCGAAAATGGCACGGCCTCTTATCTTCCGACTGGAGATACTTTCATCTAGTCATGACCAGAGAATCATCACATCACAGCAAACAGGTGGCCGTGGGTGGAACATCCCTGACGATCACTCTTCCTATGCCCCGCTAACCCTCCGACTGAGGCATAACTATGTCTTTGGGTAATAGACGCTGATCAAGGTTGCTCCTTCTGGACGCAGGTTATTCTCATTGGATCTCCAGTATTAGATGCCCTCCTGTTACTCCTGAGCCTGGCTCTACTAATATGGACAGAAGACGTCGGAGAAAGGTAAAGCATGACGCCGCCTGCAGAGAAGCACGTATAAATAAAATCACATAGCAAGGAGATATACAGCGTCGCATCCCGGAGTAATCCAGGCATGTAGAATGATGCCATATGCTTAATGGTATTCGGTCGCGAGCTGAACAGGTATCGCAGATCAAGTTAGCTGGAAAGGGAGTGCGGGGAACGCGCAAGCATGTCTAACGATGCCATAGCAGTATCAAATGCAATATTGTGAGACCGAAGCTAGGGGAGGGGGGAGGGGTGTTGCTATGATGCACAGCTTTGGGCAATGACCGACACAGTACAAGATATTATCAAGGCATGCTCAATCTCCAAGACGATCAAAGACACCACGAGGAACATCGTTCTTTCTATCCACGAATGATATTTCACCACTTTGAAGTAAGGGAAGTAAGGATACCGGCGAGGGAGAAATGAATCAGGTGAAGTACTATGACGATGAACTAGAAGTGGTCAATTCTTGTTTTCTGAGTCCTGACACTAGAGCTCATTATCGTTTCTGTCACCGGCTCAGCAAGGACAGACTGCACATTGTTGCTATAGAAGAGATGAGAGGGGAAGAGAGAAAGACGGAGAAATTGAACAAACGCAGCGCGATCCTGTGACATGTGGGTCGAGACTGGAATCCGGGGTATTTGTACCATTCCTATTTGGGTTAGACCAGTTATAGAGCAGCTACGGGTATGCAGTTTGTGCATCAGAATAAGCCTTGTATGTGCTACTCAAATCTATGTATATTCTTTGGTATAGCAGAAAGTATCTTGTCTCTTTCAGCGGCCACTGACCACAATCGCGTTTAATACGCTCGGGCTTAAATAGACCAAATGACCACACGGCCATCAACTCCGCTAGCTATAATAAATCGTTAGCCGTAACCTGTATGCCTAAATGTTGGTGAAGGAGTTTCTTACTGCTAAACTTGCTGACAGCACCGTTCGTATCCTCATAAGCTCGGATCGTGCTGATGGTGTTCTGATGAGTCGTTTTAAGCTGGGTATCAGCCTGCGTCTGGCCCTTAAGATCCATCTGACGGAACATGTTGAGAGCAGTGTCCTCTCGAACGCTCCCAGCGCCTCCTCCAGATTTGCTCTCAATTGGTCCAGTGAGGTTCCATCCACTCTCATCGCCCTGGAAGCGATACGGCTCGCAGTCCTACGCGTCGTCAAATTAGTATACATAAATAGTGGGAAGAGACAGAAAAGAAAAGGTAAAGTGAACTTACATGACCGGCGGCAATAATTTCATTCTCCCCGTTCCAGATAAGGCAGTTGAACGGCAAAAGTCGGGTGGGAATGTTCAGCATCGCTCGAGGAGGCTGTTCCGGAGCACTCGGGTACACGACCGTGATACTGCTGTCATGGCCAGTAAAAGCGAGAGCATCTCCACTGGGTGAGAAGCCCACGCCATGAATCCATCCGGCTGAATCGTTCAGGAATTCGCCGCAGATGGTATTGAACGGGAGACGCTCTCCCCAGGCGCTTGGCTCTGGGCGAGTGTCAACTCCCTTAATAAAGCCCGAGAGAACTCTAGCATGGGAATCGGTCGATCCAGCAGCGAGAAGCACAGAGTTCGGATGCCAAGCAAGAGTAGTGATGGTGCTCCTAATTGGCTTCTTCAAGTGCTTCGAAATCCACCAGTCGTTCTCCTCTTCAAAATAGCAAACCGAGATCACACGGGCTCCTGAACCAACAGCGAACTTGCGCTCAGACGGAGACCACCGCACAAACGTCGCGGCCCTGTTGATCCGAAGAAGAACCAATGTCGGCTTCCAACCAGAAGGAGTTTGTTCCCAGACGTATGCGTTCCGGTCTAAGGGGGTGATCAGGAAGTTAGCATACGCACCGTTTCGGGGACCTGCTATGAAGCAAAAGTACCTTGAGAGCAAGTAACAATTTTTCCACTGTTAGGAGCGATATCAACGCTGGTAACAGTCTTCTCATGGCCTTTCAGCTCATCAGTCAAGGAGAACTTGTTGCCTGCTGTCTGGTAGAGCTCCACATTGCTGTCCCGCGCAACGGCAAGCGTTTGCTTGTCCGACGAGAACGAGTGGTCAGCAATGGGGTTATGAAAGAGATGGTGAGCTTGCGGAGTAGCCATTGTAAAGTAAGACGACAGGAGGAGCTCTCTACTGTCGTTCAGTTGTTGTATGGTGTTTAAGGGGACGGATTATCAATGGGGAGAACCCCGTATGTACAGCTATTATTATTAGTTAGTTATGACGCGGGCCATGAGATTAGATAATAAGTCACATGACCATATACGCAGAACATCAAGCTAGTTTTCTCTCGCGACGGAACTCCAGGTAGACAGGCAAGCAATAGCAGCAGCAACAAACCCCAACCTTTCACTTAGGGATCACTTCTTGACGCGCTTTCTTTCTCTTCTCCATTCACGTAATCAATTATTATCTCCGCGATAGACCTATCAAATTCTCTTGCGTTCGTCCTTGGAGGGTCCCCGAGAATGGCTACAAAAGCTATACCCACGCGTAATAATACACAAAACAAAGCTCCTGGAGCTGGTTTTCCAAACCAAACGTCAGTGTTCTCCTTCCTTTCATCCTATTATTCTTGAATGTGAGTAATCAGGCAATTCTGACAATTTTTGCAGACTGTACTGCACCAACCTACCAGATAAGCTTCGGAAACATGACCTGCGATTATCGCTTTATACCCTTTTTTCTACCTACGGAGTTGTCTTGGATGTTGTCGCCATGAAAACAGAGAAGATGCGCGGTCAAGCCCATATTGTGTTTAAAGATATCCAGGCCAGCACACAAGCTATGCGGGCTCTCCAGGGGTTTGAGTTCTTTGGTAAGGAAATGGTATGTTGTCCTCATTTGTGCTCTTATATAAAAACCAGCCTCGCTTACAATGATTGTTCTTAGAAAATCGTTTATGCCAAGGGAAGTTCGGATGTCCTTGCTAGACTACGTGGCACGTACAACCTCCCGGCTCCGAATGCTCCAGTTGGCGGCGGTTCGACCGACCTGCAAAAATCGATATTCAGCGGCCCTCCCGGATCGACAGCGCTGCCTCCTAAGCCCATTGGTGGAGCCAATGGTGAGGCACAGGCAGCCCAGGGAGTTAAGCGACAGCGTGAGGAAGAAAGTGACGAAGAGGAGGCACCAATGGATGAGGATAGTGACGTTCCAATGGAAGCATCGTCTGATGAAGAGTAATCTGGGTCTACCACGTTCGTGTGTAGCCGATTTTAGGAGGAAATGGAGAGAGGGCAAAGGGAAAGGGGAGACAAAGGAAAGAAAAAAGAAGAGCGAAGATGACTTTTACTCTGTCTGCTTCAAAGTTATTGTTGTCCAAGGCGTTCTGGGGTTCTTGCACCTGCTTCCGTTGCAAAAAGCTCAGATGGCATATGCAAGCCAACGCAATGTCCTACCAACCCGAGCCAGATGACGAGATACGTCTCGGGTGTGACATCCTGCCCCCCTGCGATGTGTCTCATGGCATCCGCAGTATTGCAAGGATGGACGAAAAACATGGGCGCGCCAGTTATTGGATGATACTATTGAGATGTGAGCCGTGAAGCGGTCTGGAACCGAGGAGCACATGGCACCTACATCGAAACTGATACCACCTATAATACCGACACTCTTCAATTGCTTTCGATACTCGTCCGGCACCAAGTACTGGTAAACCGCGTCTATTCCGAGCACTGGACCTTTGTGATTTGTCCACCGTAACGTGAAGTACAGGACGGGAACTTGATACGTGGGAGAGAGGGCGATATCATAATCCACCTGTAAGGATGCATTGGGTTCGGTTGCGCGAATGAGAGCTTCCTGGTCACTACTGTCAGAAGACGCCAAAGCAAATGTACTGTATATTTAGGGCCCAGTGTTCACGAACAGGATCATGTTCGGAATCGTCTTCCAGCTGCGGTTCTTGAAGATCCTCGGGTTCATGCATTAATGCATTTTCTTCGTCGTGAACACCGATATTTTCAATATGCCGTGATATCTTGAGCATCGAATCACTTGTCTAGTAGACCGAGATTTAAATTAATTAAGAAAGAGAACAATCGATAGGGAAATTTTCTACTTTTAGACAGACCCGCAAAGGGAAGACGAACTACCTGTTGATGTACAAACTGAATCGACAGCCCTGTGCCCAGGCTCGAGATCTGCCATGCATGGAATCGATCGCATAAGACGCGACACCCATAGTCAAATTCATCTGGTTTCAGAAAAGGGAAGCCCAACAAGGGTTCTTGGCTCGGTCTAGAAGACGTAAGAGACGCCATCTCCGAAGTCCATGCGACTTGTCAAGACGCGGTGTACTCCGGGAGACCGTATCATCCAACACGATTGACCGACAGAAGTGAGGCACAGTGCCGCTAAACCCGTCAGCTACGAGCCTGACAGTCGTCACTCTGTATTGTTCGTGTGTGTTTGCGCTTCTTGTATTGTTCGAGAAGTGTATCAGGGTGGTATGTGGCCGCCCATTCGTCCTCGGAAATTGACAACAAAGCAATTGAGCCCAATAACAACCGGTTGCAGTAACCGACACGACGACTGACGTTAGATTTAATTGAAGGGATAGCAATCGTACATAGTCGCCGCAGTAGAAGCAATAGTAGCAAGTAGTAAAAAGTTAACTAAGGTTTCCTAGTTAGCCGCAGACGGGGAGGGGGCGGTGAAGTCACATTGTTTCCGAAAGCGGTAGGGCAGTGAAATGACGCTCCGCTCCTCCTTTCTCTCTCCGTCTTTCCTCTACCACAAGAGTACTCGTCCCTGTGGCTGATCTGCAGAACCGTCGTTCCCACGGGATCTATCGGTCCTGTCCGGCTTTGCCATAGTGGCTGATCGTTACAAAGACTGATTGTCCGTCTTATCGACATACCCCATTATGCATCCGTCCCGCTGCTTGCGGCGCAACACCATCAAGACGCGGTCTGTTGCACGTCCTGGATGAAACGGGAAAATGAAATCTCGATAACCTGCTGGTCCGCATTCATTGAGTGTGGGAGAATGAGGGCACATCATTACTCAATTGCTACGACGTGTTGAGTTTCATCATTCCCCTCCCCCTCAAGGGCAGCAGAAGCAACAGAAGCAGCCGCAACAGCGTTACCAGCGACATCAGCATAATCTGCAATGCTTCCATGGCGTTCTGATACCCCGGTCGACCGCATTGTTAGGCTGTGCATGCTCTTTGCAGCTCCCGGTGGATCAGGACGCATCCGTCGTGGTTGAAGTGTTTTCGTGCATCGTGGAGCTAGATCATGGCGCCATGGGTCTCTACCCACCCCTTGGTTTAGCTTCTTATGTAGCTTACTCTTCCCCCTTCTATAGCCCCTCGGGATTCTTTGTGCTCCAATCCTATTTCCTTTATGCCTCTGTTTTCTTGTTCTTTGCGTGCCATCTTTGTTGCTTCTTTTCTTGTTTCGGATGTTTAGCTTTTGATACCCATTCTTCTTTTCCTCAATCTTTATTTCCTCAATCTTTATTTGAGAAAAGAAAGAACCTCTTATTCTGTTTTCCAGGTGCTTCTATTCGTCTGGTTCTTCTCAGGTGGAAGTTCTAGATCACCGGTCTTGTTGGCCTTCCAACGCCGCCCCCTGGGATCAGCTATTCTTGGGTACTCATTCATGCTGCGCATGTCCCATTCGGAAAGTCCCAGAGGAAGAAGTGGACCCTGAATCTATCTTGGTCGCATTGACGCCATGGGAAGCTTCCACTCCATCCCAAGCCGATCTGGGCGTCGCCGTACGAATCGTCTGTCGAAGCCGTTGACAAAGAAGGTGTCATTCCTCAGGCCTATCAGTCGCAAATCACCGCCTACGAATTCGAGTATCACGTCCCCGGTGTCGCCTCGTTCTATTCCTCGGAAAACCCCACTGAACAGTGCTTCTGTCCCTGTCAATCCGTCTGTATCAAATCACCATGATCCTCTGCCACAATCGCTTCGTTCTGCGCCGTCCCAATCAAAGTCACTACGAAGAGTCTCCGCTTGGTCAAGGAACAAATCAGTCGCTGAAGAAGAAAACCCAGACAAGCATCGCCATGATCTCCCGAGTCCGAATCCTAGCGCCGCCGCCTCCATGAGCAGGCGGCCTTCCCTTCGGCCAACCCGAAGGGCCTCTTTTCAGCCAGAATCTTTACGCGATGTTTTCCAGCCAGGCAATACACCGGGACAACCAAAAAGATCCTATTCAGTTCAATCGCTTCCTCAGAGCCCCAGGGGCACCATCTACGAGGATGCACTGGAGGAAGCCACATCTTCCAATACGTATTTCATGGTGGATAATCAGCGGTTCTCCCTAACTCGCCGGCGTTCTCTTCTCACGCGGCCCGGAGTAGCTACAAGAAAATCATCACAACAATCCGTCAGAAGACTCTCTCCGCCAATCAACCAAGATCCCGAAAGCCCATCCGACGGATTCGCTGAGAGACAAACATTGTTGCAGCCACCGTTTCCCGAAACCGAAGATGCAACCGCAAAATCTATCTTTGCCTCTACCTCTACCCGTCCGGACACTCCAAGCGATTTCGAGTACACCCATTTGGGTGCGCTCAAGTTGGGCTCTTTGCGAGTTGTCAATGGCTCTGCATCTCCGTCTTCCAGTGATCGGACGCGCTTGGACATCTCTCGCAGCACGTCACCCGAGATCTCTTCAGACGATGTGTATACAAAAGAGTCGACGGTTACAAACCACACCAATAGCCGAAAACTCTACGGCCATAGGTCAAGCTCTGGAAGCAAATGGAAGACGACAAGCAGCGATACTTCTATGTTTCAGATCTCTGCTTCACCTGATAAAGAAGACGTCCCTGGAAGCCCATTTTCTTTTGAGAAATCACCAACGATGGCAACGTTCCCAAGACACGCGTCATTCCTTACACAAGAAGAGGATGAGGGAATATCATTACCAAACGAAAAGAGCCTGATCGACGATGGCGCTAGTCTTTTGTGGAAGGCTCATATGAGGCCACACGATCGAAAGAGGCATTCGCGATCTCTCGCGAAAGCCGACAGTGGCTACAGTTCCGCTACGTCCGCCCGCTCTTCACAATATAAACCTACTAGGAGATCCATAGATTCTCAACGACCAGAAAGGCAACCTCGGGGGTCTCGCAAGGTCTCCGCCAGCCGCGGGTTCGAAGGACACGGAGATCACGTCGAAAACTCGTTGGGCTTGAATTACCTGGATCCGATTCGACGCCATTCCAACCGTCAAGTTTCTAGGTATGATAGATCGCAGCAGTTACAACCGGACACGCCGCTACAGAGCCCCCGTTTTGCAGATTCTACGGCTCTCAGGCGTGCTATGTCTTTTTCTCGGCCGCTTGGGCCGTTGGACAGCCTTGAGGCCTCTACCAAAGACGCCGCCGAGGCGCCAATTCCTCAGAGGCGACGGGCAGGCAGTATCAGAGGCCAAGCGTCCCACTCCTACCAGAACTTTCATGCTCTGAATTCTTCCCGATTATCACGCCATCAATCAATTTCTTTTACCGGTACTGAACAAAGGATCCCTGGGGTTCCGGGCATATATAACACTCGGAACTATACTCGCTTGAACAACGCAGACGCAGCAGACTACGATCGTTTTGACCATTATCGACCCCAGAACCAATCCATCCACCGATCATCTACGGCAAGGGCCAAGCAAACTAGAGCTGACATGGTGAACGAACATTACCGTCAGTCAAACAACAACTTGGGTGGTAAATCTGTGTTGCCAAGACACAGCACTGATTTTGCCCTGCGGAAATCCATTTCTTTCCTGGAACGAATGGAACCCGTGGCAGAAACGGACTATGGGACTCTAGCCGGAGGGTCTTGCGACAGGGTCAGGAACCCAAGCATTGATGAACAGCAAATCAAATATGCTCGACCTGTCAAGCGCCGGAGTCTCAACATGTCCACTTCCCCGTTTATTTTCAAATGAAGAATGATGCTGGAGAACATGCGATACGACCTTTTTTTTTTTTTCTCTCTTTGTTACTCTTTCCATATATAATAGTATATACGAACGTTCAAAAGTTCACGGTACGGTTATGCAGCTATGTTGGGAAAGGGCGGGATTTTGGATATACCACCATTTTTACTGGACTGTCAGTGGTCTTGTTTACGAGTTTTACTTACTATTTAATGAGTGTTTGTGTTATCGACTGAATAACCAGCGACTACCTGTACATACTACACACTACTACTATTACTACTACTATAACCGGGGATCTCTATTGTGACAGAAAGGAAACGAGTATGTAGCGGTGAGGCCCTAACGGGGTGTCTAAACGAGCGCCCTGCCGAACATGCATCTGTCAGACTGCCAATTAAGTCTTGATAGTTTCAGAATGATTTGAAAAAGAGTGTTAAGCACAAGCCAAGGTATTGTTGTGTGTTGTCTGTGGGATTGACATATCTATGCGAAATGTCTCAACACTGTAAGGATCTGCTGAGTTCAGCAGTAACTACATTTTGTTGAATGCAATAATATATCAGAATGGAAATACATATGCATATACAAAAGAATAAAATAATATGCATGCTGTACTATTCAATCTATGCTCAAGTACCATCTTCCGTACAGACAGTGTACGTACTTGTACTCGCGTATCTGCTCGGCATGTCGGTATGGAGCACTAGTGCCCTGTACCTACGGAGGACTTGACACGTTAGTGAACATGTGTCAATGTGTTGGTACCTGGAGTGAGCTTCTGAATACAGGGGTCCCTGGCATAGCTCGTGTTTCGTATTGCGAACACGATGTTCTACTTTACACTTTAGATTTAGGTATCAATGTGTCGGCCACTTGTGCATTCAGTCTAATGTAGGGAAATGTCGAGAGAAAGATTCCATATGACAGATCATTAATTGATATGCTATTTATTAATAAAAAGATCATAGCTCATGAAAATGCAAAGTAAAAGCAATCCGCTCCTAGCAAAAACCATAGTTCATGCAAGATATATGCAATCCAGATGGCGTCTGAAGAAATGGGGAAAGTCGATTCGAGAAAACAAATGCGGTGTCCCATCCTCCAATCATATCATAGCCCCATATAATTAAACATAGCAATGGAAACTCCAGATATTCAGCAAATAAAAAACCGTATATGAAATCCTTTATTCAATCCGAATCTTCTTCATCTTCGGTACCGGCTCCTTCGGGAGCACCAGCGACAGAATTCCATTTCTCAAGGTAGCCCTGACCGCATCTTGGTCGACTCTTGTAGAGAGATTGAAGACTCGGTGGAATTCGCCAATAGCGCGCTCGGAATGTCGGTACTTGTACGCTGGCTTCTGAGTTTTCTCAGAAACAGGCTTCTCAGAGTAGGTTGGTGTCGCCACAGGTGATGAGTAGTTCGCCTCGTCCTCGTCTTCGACGGTAGGTTGGTACGACTTGTTGGAGGAGGTTTCAGAGGATTGTTCCTCATCTTGCTGGCTTTCCTCATCTGTGTTGTTGTAATTCCGCTCCACTCGACCCTTGATCACAAGTGTCTGAGGATCAGAGAATTCAATATCGACATGGTTCTGATTAACACCGGGGAGCTCTCCTTCAAGATAGTAGGCCTCGTTCACCTCCCGCAGATCAAAGTTCGGGCTGAAGTAACGAACTGGGGAAGGCTGGCGGTGATTATGGTATTGCTTGTGGTGGTGGTTGTGCTCTGGGCGAGTTGAGCGGTGGACATCATAGTCATGTTCCAACAAGTAGAGCAGAGGCGACATATTAATGGTGTAGTGTGGAAAGAAGGCCATTTTGTCTTGTTTGGATGTTAAGGGTAGGGAGGTTAAAACTTTGATATGAAAAATGTTGGAAGTAGAAGAGTAGTCGCTTGCTCTTGTCAGAGTATAGAACCAGTTATTCTGATATGAGAAAGTTGATGAAGACAAGCCAACCGAAGGGGTCCCAAGCCATGATTTTTATATTCATCGAGCTCTATTCTAGAGCCCACGCGCATGTACATTTGAATCAGACTGAATTGTCAGGAACCGCATGCTGGTTGTCCCTTGAAGCCTCAAGATGCTTCGAGATCACGGACCGATAAGATAAGATCTACCCGATCCTACGGGAACCCTGTGGAACCTTCTGTGACATTCCGGAATTCAAGGTCACATGACCTCTATCGCAATGCCTCGTCGATGCGATCTCCCGCGATCATACTTGGTTATTCCTTGATTATTCAGGTCGATATTCTTTTTTGCTGCATATATCGCTGACTATGACCCTTGTTCAAATGTACAGCTCCTTCTCATGGGTGTCGACGACTATCAGTTGTTGACAGTGTGCCTTCGATTATCGGATATTGCGAATTCCTGGAGACGAATACATCTCGAGCTGCCTTTGGCCTTTGCGCAAAAAGTACTCGATCGCGGTGAAGTCTTTTTTGCCGACGAAGATATTCTTCTGGAATTCTGCCCTACAGCCATTGTTAGCTCTGGTTTCAAGCGATTGCGACAATTCTCGCGACTCTTGAATAGTCAAGAGTTTGGAGACGCACCTAGCATATGCTTTGAAGTTATCCTGTGCCTCCTGTTCAGACAGGCGAATTAGCAAGATTTTCCTTTCCATTGGTCTAGGGTTTGGTAGCTCTGAGCTCACCATAGGCTTTTTCCGGATTTCCCGCAGGCATTTCCGGTAAAGAGATAAGACGTCTCGTTGGAGACCTGACAATCGGGCCATTGATGTACACAGAGATAGAATGCGAGAATACAGAGTAGAAGCTCTCTGTTCTGGTTGGAAATAACTGATAGAAAAAAGAGAAAATAATACTAGTACATTCCTTACATCATTGGTTCCGTAGCTCCGTTCTGCTCCGTCTCCGGGAAACTGGGGGGACGCCGGGGAACTCCTCTTCTTCCGGCCGAGATGCACATGGACCGAGGAGCTGTGGCCGATTCCGTGGATATATATGGTAGATGATTCAGTGTTTTGTAGTTTGTCCTTCTACCTCTTCTCCCTTAGTTTGAGTTAAACTGAGCGATTTCGATATATACATATATAATACACACACAAAAATGCCTGCTTTCTCGGTAAGTCGACCAATTATACCTCTACTATGTAGAATACTCCGTTCAACTATTTTCGCGAGACGCTTATCTATGTTTGATACCACCGATAGAATGCACCAAGAAGCTAACCATCAATGTCTCTGTACAGCGCTTGGTTCGCTTCCTGGCCAAAGACGGCCAAATCTACTACGGCGATGCCATCCTCCCTCCCGGCGTGACTGACATGTCCAAAGCGACTCAAGCAAAGGTGATCAAGGGTGACATCTTCGGACAACACCAAGTCACAGACCAAACAGCCGAGGTGAAATTGCTCCTGGCCCCTCTGGCAAGAGAAGACATCGGCACAGTGCGCGGCCTAGGGTTGAACTATGAGCAGCATGCGAAGGAGTCCAACCTGCCCATCCCCAAATACCCTGTGCTTTTCTACAAACCTGTCCCCTCTATCGGGGGTCCTACCGATGACATTCCCGTGCCTTACTTGGTGCAAGATGATGAGGGACTGGACTACGAGTGTGAGCTGGTTATTGTTGTTGGCAAGCTAGCCAAGGACGTGCCTGAGAACCGGGCTTTGGACTATGTGCTTGGGTACGCAGTGGGTAATGACGTCTCGCACCGGGAGTGGCAGATCAAGCGTGGAGGAGGGCAATGGGCCCTGGGTAAGAGCTTTGATGGCTGGGCACCCTTTGGACCTGGTATCGTGACCACGGATGTGATCCGCGATCCCAATGCATTGATGATCTCGACCAAACTGAATGGTCAAACTGTTCAATCGTCATCGACCAAGGACATGGTCTTCCATGTGGCTCAAACCGTGTCGTTCCTGTCCAAGGGGACGACTTTGTTGCCTGGAGATCTGATTTTCACCGGAACGTAAGTGTCTTCACCGCAATCATTGCTGGCGAATCGTTGCTCATTCATGTGCTTGACAGTCCCCAAGGAGTGGGCATGGGTCGTAAGCCCCAACTTTGGTTAAAGGACGGAGACCAGGTTGAGGTCTCGCTTGACAGTGTAGGATCGTGTGTCAACAAGGTCGTCTACGAGAAGCCATCGCCTAGGCTTTAGACACGGAAAGTAAAATCGGGCAGTTCCATAGTATATCTTAGTTGCCCAATATAGTACTATTCTTGGTAATATCGCGCAAAACATAAGGCAACTATATTGATTTGGGGTTCGTAACATCTTTTCCTATTAATCGGATTCTCGCAGAATGTCGTATGAATAAAAAAAAAAAAAAAAAGAAAAGAAAAGAAAAGACCTAGACAGTTTGAGCGCCATATCCCTTGATCGACTCAGCAAATGCCCAGCTCTGGGCTTCAAGCTTCTCATCTTCCTTCACCTCAATGCCATCCTTCGAGATCACTGCTATCGAGTAACTGTCGAGACTCCGCGCATCCCGATACCACAGAACTTTGATACACTCCTTCAGCGCTGCCACTGCCTGCTCCTTGCTGATTTCTTTGATGGGCTTCTCCTCCGGGAACAGTCGACGGAGAATTGGGACAGCGAGGTGAGCACCGAAGCCGGTCGCCAGATGAGGGGCTGAATAAGTGGTGCCAAGCAGGTCTGCTGAGCTGAGGAAAGGCTGTCCATTCCCATCGAAGCCTGCAACCAGGACGTGATTCCAAAGCGGGTTGAATTCAGAACGGCGCTTATAGAAGACCTTCGACAGGTAGGTGTGGAGGTTCTTTGCGTTGAGCAGGTTTCCATGGGCCGAATAATTCTCTTTGATATCGATGGATCCTAGGAGACGGTCGATGTATTGCATATCAGACACGTCACCACCAAATCCGACCACAGCAGAATCTCCAAAGGTTCGAAGTCGTTTAACATCGGTGAACCGAGCGAGGGAGCCGTACGATGCTGTGTAAGAGAGCCAGTCGTCAGAAATGCCTAGTATTTGTGAATTGAATATTCCAACGTACCCAGGTTGTCGGCCGCAATCGCAACACCTCCGTTGAACTTGACCGCAACCACTGACGTCCCGGTCACAGCGGGAGACTGAGTGTGGGCTTTCGGGCCAGTGGTCTGTAGGAACGAGGGGTTGTAAGCTCCATAGATGTCATTTCTGGGCTTCAAGTACACTCATATCAGCGATATAGACCTTTATGTAATGGTTTAGCTGCTCTTACTCGACCCCAGGATTCCGGAAAGTGGTTCATGCTGCACGGCACGGTCTCCAATATGGTTTAAAGGAATAAAGCAAATAGGTGGGGAGGAGGGAAGGAGGAGAAGAAGAAGAAGAAGAAGATCCTTGGTGGTTGATCAAAAGGGCTGAAAAAGCGATACACTGTTCAAGTTCAAGCTAGGTGACGGAGCTCTCTTTGGTTACGTTAGCAGTTGCACCGCTGGGCGTTGGCGGCGGAACTCCGCGCGCCTATCGGAGCTTAAACACGTGAGATGTTTGCTCTTTTTGTCTTTTTCCATAACATAACCCTTATATCTACAGAGTATAGGATTCTACGATAATTGTCTCTGGACTGGTACATATGTGCAATCCGAGGTACATCAGTCTCCCTGGATCATTGCAGCCACTGCATTCTACCAACCCTCTCTTTTGCTTTTTCTTGGTTTATTTCCTTTGGTAATATCATTCGGGACATCATAGATTCGTCGCATTGTTTCCAGATTAGGTACTAGATTTTAGATGTTTGCCAAAGCTATTGGAACAGCTTCACCTTACCATCACTTAGGCTTATTCTCGGGTTGGCATCAGCCCCCATGCTCTCGGTCCCGGCAAGTTGTAGCTCAGTAGCATAGATAAAAGACCTGGCTCCAGCAGCCAGGCCCTACTTGGACTGGTTTTGCAATGGCTTGGATCAAGACCTCGCACCTCTACCGGCAGAATTCGCTTTAGTTCTTGAACTTGGCAAATTCGAACGGCCGCTGCCTTCAGATGTCCCTGACACGAATTCAATAGAATCTCTTTGGCCACTAAGCCGTTTCTCTTCCGTTTTGCGACGGATCTCTTGCTGCCTCTTTAAAAGTTCCTCCTTGTAACCCCAATTCGGTAAATTGGACATATCCCAAAGGTCGGGAGGTAGTGAAGTAGAGTATTGCGCTTCATCATTGATTCCCGCATGTTTCATCATCTTCATGAGCAAGCTCGGATTCTTGAGTGAAGAGGAGCCGGCAAGTTTCTCATTAAAATGTGTCCCCTGTTTTTTCAATGATAAGAAATGCGCGAACTTGGCATTTGCCTTGGGATCAGGGGAACCTGGCGGAGATGGCGGTATATCTAGATTTGGGACAGTAGGGAGTGTTAAGTCGTGTGTTAATGCGAGAGATGTTGAAAAGGGAGAAGATGGGCCGTCGGGGGAGCCCCCGCTTGCTACATGTGGTCCCTGAGGATGCGAAGGTCCAAGAACTGGCCCGACTGGCTCCGCATTCGTAGTTATTTCTGGGATAGGACTTCTCTTTTCCAATGTTTTGGGCGCTTTAAATATTAGTATTTGGTAACCTCTAAGCTATGTGTCGGAGACATACCATTAACATCTGCGGCTTGTGACTCTTGAACAGGTTGTTCCTTAGTCTCATGCTAGAAACTGAGTTAGCGAGCGAGCAAGTCTTCGAGTTCTGTTGATCTATACCTTAGGCGCCGTTAAAGGGGTTTCGTTTTCTCCTTCGTCTTCGCTACTGCTTTGATATGCACCAAGCCCAAGCATGGTGTCTCCAAATTAAGGTCCGAATAATGGCGGTTCTGGGTATACAGCGACTAGACACTTCTCGGTATAAGTGGTAAATTCAATGTTCAAAAATGATGGAGCAAATGTACTAAAAAGACCGAATATTAGTCGCATCACTATCAGTGACAGTTCTGGGTAGATCTTGGCGGAAGCTTTAGGATTAGGTAAGCAAAAGACAGCTGCTCCAGCATCGCGTCAGAAGTGAGAGCAATCCATCCAAGTCCCAAAGCCACCTGGTCCTCCCCGCAAACAAAGGGACACACGAAAGAAGGACGCTGCATTGACTTTATCAGAGGATTCTGTTCCCCTCTTCTGTCGAATAATCTCTTGATACCTCTCCAAATCTGATTATCGCACCGGAAATGACGTCGCTTCTGGGTTACCAACCTCAGAATGAGGGTGTCGGATATTCCTTCTCTCAGCCAACCAGTGTCCCCATCAAAGAACACTCCTTCTACCCGTATGTGACGAAGATTTGGCTCTTTTTATGAGATGGAAAACTAATTTGCCGACCCTAGGTATACCGACAACGGCGGCTCAACTTTGGGCATCTCAGGTTCCGACTTTGCGATCCTTGCCGGCGATACTCGTTCCGTTGCAGGATACAATATCAACTCTCGCTACGTCCCGAAAGTATTCAAGATTGGCGGTGATGATGAGACTGGAGAGGGTGCCCACATCCTTCTAGCGGTTGTCGGTTTTGCTGCCGATGGTCAAGCTCTCAAAGAACGACTTGATGCCGTGGTGAAGATGTACAGATACCAGCATGGAAAGTCTATGTCTGTGTCAGCATGTGCACAGCGGCTCTCGACTATCCTTTACCAGAAACGATTCTTCCCCTATTACGTGCAGGCCATCCTGGCAGGATTGGATGACGAAGGCAAGGGAGCATTGTACAGTTATGATCCCGTTGGCTCGTATGAAAGAGAGCAGTGCAGAGCGGCTGGATCTGCTGCAAGCCTGATTATGCCGTTCCTGGACAACCAGGTGAATTGCAAGAACCAGTACATCCCTGAAAGCGGAGAAGGGCATGCTTTGGAGGCGAAGAAGCCGGAGCCTCTCCCAAGGGACACGGTCGAACAGCTCGTACGGGATGCGTTCACCAGTGCTGTGGAAAGGCACATTGAGGTCGGTGACGGACTTCAGATGTTGCTTGTTACAAAGACCGGGATAGAGGAGATCTACCACCCTCTGAAGAAGGACTAAAGAGACCATTACCGGTGGTCATCAATGTTTTATTAATTGGATGTGATCGATTCTTCAGTAGAATCATAACACGAATATGTCAATGAAGGTATATCTTTTACATCATATCATAACTTCAATAGTATATCTTATTCGATCCCTTATGTCGTGTGAGCCCTTAACGCCAATTTCATCATGCTGCAACCAAGAAAAGAAGAAAAGAAAACAACATTTTTGACCTTATCAGAAACGTTCCTTCATGCGTGATGCCACAGTACGCAGGTTACCGTAAACCTTACCCTGTCGATCATGACATTAGTAACAGCTCGGAACGATAATAATTCACCTGTCGTTTGCGCGATCACTTACCGGAGGACTACCCAAAATCAAGCTAACGATGGCCTCCCGAGCGATGTGGATGTTCTTGAATCCACCAAGGATATGGATCTTTTGATCTGCGAGAACCACACGTGTCCGACTTGCATTCTCGATTGCGAATTTAGTCTTTCCGTCCTTTCCTGCGATCCGACCAATTGCACGGCCAATATGTTCACCATTCAATGAACCCTTGACGTCCTTCAATTCAAAGGATTGGATGTACAGATCGTCCAACCTCAACAACGCGATGGCATCGTCGACATCAAACCCAAGGGTGAAAGCTTTAACGAAGTCTTCGCCTTTCTGTAAGGCCCCCGTGTCCGTAGTAAACTTCGAGGTACGTAGTTCAACTGCCTTGTTCTTGATATTCATGCGCACTTGTAACTTCAGATGCTCAACAAGCGGAGGGTATATCTTTGGCCAATTTGCTTTCAGAGGCGTCATACGATGCGGTGGGACCGGCACTTTTCGAGTTTCGACGCGATATACACTGTTGGTGTTCGTCTCCGGCGTAAAAATGGGGCGACCCTCTTCATCAATGCGCATTTCCGAGTCCTGGGCCGGTTCCGTGGGAGGGCTATTCGAGAGATCATTCTCGGCGGAATCTTGTGCATCAATCAAAATTTCATCATCTTGGTCTGTGAGCCGTTAGTTGAAACTCGGATGTATGAGGCACTGGTCGCAACGAACTTGGGACAAGAGGGGCAGCCGTTGAGGCTTCCATCGACGCCATTTCCTCGGGGCGCCTGAGGAGTGCTGTTGGGGCCGGCATTTTCTTTCGACTATAGAAAATAACAATGTATATCAGTATCGTTTAAAAAAAAAAAAAATATAAAAAAAAAAATGCGGCGCCTAGTAACTAAATCTGTTATCGTGAATTTTATCAGGCGGAGTGAAAAAAAAACTAAAGTGTGTCAATGCGGCTGCAAACAAGACAAACATTATCCGGTGGTGCGGGATGATTTCATTTTGTTCCAGCATCGGGCAAATTATATACACTTAGCCATTAACGTCGCCAGTTACGTTTGTTCCTGCTTTCAATTTCAATAACCCATTCATCTCAGACCCTCGAAGCTGCTCAGCTGCTATGGCTTCTGTCGGATGTCTCTAACGAGCTCTACTTTTTCATTTTCTCGGTTTATAGATTCATGATGTGACGGCGATCATGGCAGGCAATTTTGGACGCAGGTTATACACTAACCTCTGGGAGGCAGCAAATCCATTATTCGGACGCCCTTTACGGACAGGTCGCTTACCGTTTATATCTGATACACCGAACTCGACCCAATTCTCATGCGAATTTCTCTTCAGACGACAGGCCAGAAACGTATCATCGTTGCCTCCTCGAAGAACGACGCAAATCACAAGATTTGCTTCTGGGGGCTTCTTTGCCCTTGGAATTTCACCTAGCTCGCCAGCAGTGGAAACCGGAGCGACATGTGCAATTGGTCCCGACAAATTATTACCACATAGAAGCTATCATTTCGATAGAAGACTTCTTCGCAACCTTACAGGAAATTCCTGGAAGCGAGGACTGCATACAAATAAGGATGATCGGTTAAAAGCAGAGTCTCCTAAGGACCCCTCTTTTAAGCCAGACAGTAGCAAGTCTGACTCAACAAACCTAGATTGGACTGGGTATGAGATTCAGAAGAATCGCCAGACGGAGAAATCCACCTATGGGCACCAACTGGGATCATTCAACCGCCATCTTATCGACCGCTTGCCGCACATGCCGCACATTCCGCATCTGCAACGGCCCACAAAAGAAGAACTTCTAGCGGCAGCAACTGGCTTTTGGTCCAGGCTCAAGGTACGATTCAAGTGGTTTTCGATTCGAAGTGTTCGACCTTTCAATCTGGATGAAATCGCAGCCCTTTTTTCGTGGGTCTTCTTAGGCCATGTGGTTTGGGTAGTCTTGGGAACAACAACTTTCTTTTCGTTGCTTATCATTGCGATAAACACTGTCTTCGCTCAAGGTGTGTTTCAAGATATCTTATTCACCAAGTATTGGAGGCTAAAGTTATACAGAAACCTTGGCTAGATGGATAGGTAACTACCTTACGAAATCATCTGGTGTGAAAGTTGTCTTCGAATCTGCTATTGTGCCCAAATGGAAGGATGGTGTCATCACTTTCAAGAATGTATTTGTCTCGCGACGACCTGGACTGGGGACTGGGGATGTCAGCAAAGGCTCGTCGAAGACAGCCGCGGCAGTGGCTGCAGCTGCCGCTCTCAGTGAACAACCGACTGCCGACGCATCTGACCAGCGAACGATGCCCGACGAAGAGGATACGAACTATACACAGTTTGACATATCCATCGAGTCAGTCAATGTGACATTGTCGTTCACGAAATGGATAAACGGAAAGGGCCTTTTGCGTGATGTTGATGTTAAGGGCATCCGAGGAGTCGTTGACCGTAGACATGTCCATTGGTCAGATGTCAACTTAGACCCTAAGTCCTACCGGCACGAGCATCACCCTGGGGATTTCGAAATCGACCGGTTCAAAATGGATGATGTACTGGTCACAATCTACCAACCCGATAATTTCCGGCCATTCTCTGTCAGCATATTCTCCTGCGATCTTCCTCAGTTGAGGAAGCAATGGTTATTCTATGATTTTCTTTCGGCGAATATGATGTCAGGGTCATTCGATAACTCTCTATTCACTATCCATCCGCGACAAACCCACGGCTTCACTGGCGCACAGTTGGGCAACGGCCTGGAGGAAGACGGCAAGCCGAGTCCGTGGAAGAAACACAGCCGGATCCGTATCGATGGGTTGAATATAGACCATCTGAACCGTGGAGTGCAGGGACCATTCTCATGGATACATGAGGGAACTGTTGACATTGTCGCGGACATCATGTTCCCGGCGGAGAATGACGAGAGTTTGGCCAAGGTGATGACTGATCTCTATGATCGGTTGGAGGCAACAGTCACCTCTAACCGGTACGACCCTGCGTCGCCAGATGCAGATGTGTCCAAGGAAGACGTTGCGAATGAAGATCGACGGTTCCTAGTCACCGATCTTCGAATTCATCTCAACAATGCTAGAGCCGTGGTCCCTATCTTCACACGGGATCTTTCCTATATCAACAACGCGCTTATACGGCCCATTGTCGCGTACATCAACTCCCGGCGGACTTTTATCCCCGTCAATTGCCGCCTTGTCAAACGCGTTGAGGACTTTGATGGCAGTTGGACCACATTTGACAGTGGTCTGATGGACGATCTCTCTGCCGCGGTAAGCTTGCATTCCCTCCACTTTCACTACTTTGTGTCTTGCTGATATATCAACCAGGCGTATGATGGCTTCGCGCGAGATGTGGTAGACGACCAAGCGCGCAAACGACGTTTCAAGAAAGTTGGATTTTGGTCACTCCAACTTGCCGCCCAGGCCATTTTTATGGGAATGGCTGGGAACATTGCATGATTCTTTCTGCCATATAATGACTGACGGCGTTACACTGGGTTTGAATGGGTTTTACTGGGATTTCGCGAGGGCGAAAAGCAAAATAAAAAGGGCGTTTTCTGATTTTCTGCAGTTTTTCTCTTCTCTTCCAACTTTCTTTTCAGCCACTGTCTAATGGGGTGGATGTGTGCTGTGTACTCATAGAATTCTACCACTATAGAGATGTTCTAGATCATACTCCGAAGCAATGCAGACAATGCAATATTCTCCGTACTGGGTGTTGGTCTATGCGCTGCTCCGTGAGCTGTCAGTAAAGCTGTCAATGCCCCGTGCCCTGCAGTTATGTACGAACTTTTATGGTCCTTCAAACCCAGGAAAAGGGGAGTGCAATTAACCAAAATTTAGGTCTTAACGAAAAGGGAGAGGTGCAGCGTGTAGGAAAGTAGAGTTAGAATTTAGTTACCCCTATTCCTATATCCTCCCCCCTTTCCCTATTTTCTTTGGTGGGATCTTCGCATTTACTCCGTCCCCATTATTCTAATCAAATGAGACCAAAAAAAAAAAAAAAAAAAAAAAAAAAAAGTCCTGAATAATGTACTTCTGCTCTTAGTTAGTCGGTGGTTCTTCCCCAATCTCCAAAAAAGAAGAGAGGGAAATTCCCCGAGATTTCCGACATTCTTTCTTTCCTGTCTCTTTACTTTCGCAGTCAGTTTCTCTCTTTTCTTTCCCGCTCTCTTTATTTGTCTTCTGAAGGTCATACAAGTGGTGTTTTATCTGGTCAGTTCAGTTCAAAAGAACTCCTTGTATATACAGTAAGTGCTCCGTTAACCAATGGGTCCGGGATTGGTGAGGACCCCACTCTCTTTCTTTCCCCCCTGCTCTCTTATCCTTTTATCTCCTTGTCCCACTGACCGTGCATAATCCAGAAAGAGACCGGTTGTTGTTGTTGTCGTTGTCGTTGCTGTTGTCGTACATAATTTTTTCTTGAACAGTCCTGGGGGGCGCTTGCGTCTCCTCTGCTGATCCGGACGAGCCCAATGTCGCAGGTTCGGCGGCACGGACAAGGGACCGACCACCATCACCACCATCACTACCAATATCAACCATACAGTCTCCCAATCCAGCCTCCTCCGAGTTCTCCTCTTCCTCCTCCTCCCCTTTCTCCTACTACTGCTAGAAATCCTCATTCAACCTCTCCGCATTCTCCTTCTTCTTCGTCTCCGTCTCCGTCCTCTTCTTCATTCCCTCTTAATGGGAGTTTAATCCCTCGCGATTACTTAGGGTCTCGATCTGACCAGCAGCAAATTTCTCGTGCCGCTGCTGCCGTGGTTGCTCCCCGCAGAACGACTCCATCCCCATCTCCCTTGCAGACAGGTGCCCATTCTCAGTTACCCCGTCTAGACGAGTTAGGCGCATCGCAAAGCCCGTTGTCACCACGGACATCTGCGGCTACTTCGACATTTCAAAGCCGCTCTCCGGTCGGCCATTTATCTCATGCCGCGTTCCCGACGCCTCCATCAAGCGCCGGCCACAACTTTTACAGCAGCCAGATTGAAACGGCAGACAAGAAACCGTTGAATGGACATCACCAACATGATAGAGATATGACCGAGGAAAAAGTGAACCAGACGACTCCGCGCAAACCCTCGGACACTACGGACTCGAATCAATCAACGACCTCCTCCCCCATATCTGGTATTAGTTCGTTGCACTCCATGGCTGGCGATCGCTCGGGACAGCGGGTTATGCCCCGCACGTCGTCAATCGACTCTGCGATCTCCTCGCTTTCCTCGGCGTCCCAGTCTCATAGATCCACCTTCGACGCCAATTCAGTGAGCCAGGCGGACATCGGGAACCTGATTTCTACCGCCGGATCAGCCGAAGCTGTCATTATACACCTCCTCAAAGAGAAACATCACGCTGCCTCACAAAACTCGCAGCTTTGGAGATTGGTCGATAAGCAACGGACCCTCATTCTTGGTCTGAACAAAGATCTTGAGCGAGCATTGAAGGAGAAAGAAAAGTACAAGACAAAAGCGAAAGAATTGCAGACGCCATTGCCGTTGAACAGCAACAATTACACAATACAATCCCGAGGTACTGAAAGGGATCCTGTAGGTACCCAAGATCAGGACCGTCAGGCGCAAAATCAACCGGAACCCTCGAGAAACACAGGGGGTTACAACCAAGGGAACTTCAATAACCAGAATGTGTCTACAACGAACGATTCGCCTGTCGAGTCTCACGGAAAAGAGGACCAAGGTCGCGAATCCCAAAAATCGCAAGCACCCATGTACTCACGGCGCGAACTCTCAGCGGCCAGTCCGAATTCGTTTGCGAGCTCCAACGATTCGTCGCTCAGTGAAAAGCCAATACAAGAGAAAATTCCGCACCCAATACGAAAGCCTCCGCCCGCACCGCTAAAACTTGGAAAAATGGGGGGCACAATCAAAGAGCATCCCGAATCTGACTCGGAATCGGAATATGAGGATATTGACGCAGTGGATGAGATGGACCGCGGGAGAAGGAAGACGAGGGACGATGATGATAGAGAGCGTGAAGCGGCGCATGCGAAAGAAGATGCGCAACCTTCCAAGCTGGCGCAACCTTCAGGCGGCCAGCCCATGCCAGTCGGCCTTCCGTCAAGCCCACGGCCGATGGCTACACAATCACCACCACCAATTGAACGCTCTGGATCACTGGCCTCCATTCTAAGCCCTCGCATGGCGCATACGGGGTCTCTAAAAGAACGCTCCTTTTTGTCATCGGCACCAAAGAGTCCAGGTTTGCCTGTCAGTCCAAGACCAGAGGACCGTCCCATCGGCGCTCCGTTGCCACGAATGCCCCGAGAATTGCCAAACGGTTTGACGCCTGTGTCAATACCATCGAGCAATAACAACCTTTCGGGGTTGGCTCTCTCACCTCGAGCAACCAGAAATCCAAATCCATTTGCTGCACCAGGGAATTTCATGCCTTCTGGTACCGCAGCGAACATCGGTCCGCCTATACCTTTGATTGACGCGGCGGTTAAGATAGACAGTCCCCGATCACCGGACCCAAGCGCCAATGGTATCTATCAAGGATTGGTTTCTGATGAGTACCCTGACCTTCTTTTATCGCCAAATGCCCTGCCTTTGATTGAGGTGAAGGTTGCATCTTCCAGGCTCCGGCCTTCTAGGAATAGCTACATGGCACCGAGGCCATCTGAAGAAGAGCCAGTTTTTACCTTGAGTATCTTCTCGCGCTCAGACAGCATGGAGCTTTGGCGCGTTGAGAAGGTCATTGCAGCACTGCCCCAGCTGGATCAGCAAGTCCGGCAACTGTGTTCTTTCGCAGGAAAACTGCCTGACCGGAGCATATTTACCGGACACTCACCCGCCAAGATCGATGCACGACGGGCAGCTCTAACTTCCTACTTTGATACTCTCCTTGATACTCCGATGGATGAAAAGGCCGCTTTGGTCATTTGCCAATTTCTCACTTCTGATGCTATCGAGGCCCGGGACGATGAGACGAGCTTACTGAAAAGTAGCAATCAGATGAAAGCCGAGATTCTACGTGGTCCAGATGGGAAGCCCAGGAAAGAAGGATACCTGACAAAGAGAGGAAAGAATTTCGGCGGGTGGAAGGCAAGATACTTCGTCCTGCATGGCCCTGAACTCAGATACTTCGAAGCTCCTGGCGGTGCGCATTTAGGCATTATCAAAATTCCCAATGCGCAGATAGGCAAACAATCGCAGAACACTAGCGCTCAAAGCGTCTCTCCCCCTGACGATGACTCCGACAATCAATACCGCCATGCCTTCCTTATTCTGGAGCCAAAAAAGAAAGACTCCTCAGCCCTTGTTCGACACGTTTTGTGCGCTGAAAGCGACGAAGACAGGGATGCCTGGGTCGAGGCATTACTGGAATACGTTGAAGGACCTGCAGCAGAATACGAGAGCGCCAATGCTACGAACACGAAGAGTCAGCCTCAAACGCCAACAGCCGATGCAGGTCCAAAGTCGGCGAAGATGTTCCCCAATGGGGATAAGAAGAACAGCAAAGTATCTGACGGTCCGGATTCAGATGGTCCCGACACAGTGCAAGGGTTCAGCTTCGATGATGCTGTTCCTGCCGAACCGCCAGTCCTCGGGTCAAATTTTGAAAAACCCACACCCAAATCTCCACTGTTCCCGTCTAGTACATGGGGCCCCTCGGCGGATGCAAACCAAACAGCCAACGCTACATTGGAGAATGGACAGCTTTCATCGAAAATCATATCAGGACCGACAAACGGCGCTGTGATCCAAAATGCAGGCGCTTGGGGCAACAGAGCTGCCAACGCCACTGCCATCAAGGAGAAGAAGCGCAGTATATGGGGCTTTGGAAAGACGAGATCGTCGATGGACATTGCCTCGCAACTTCAGCAAGCCGATCGCGAATCTCCTACATCACAGACTCAGGGAAATGCTTTTGTTGACAGGAAGGACTTCGTCAGGCCTGTTTTTGGTATCCCGTTAGCAGAAGCAGTGCAGTACTGTGCACCGCAAGGGGTTGACGTAGAGTTGCCTGCTGTGGTCTATCGCTGCATTGAATACCTGCAAGCCAAAGGAGCATCATCCGAAGAGGGTATCTTCCGACTAAGCGGTTCCAATGTTGTCATTAAAGCATTGAAGGAGCGGTTCAATACAGAAGGCGATATAGACTTCCTTGCTGGTGATGAGTACTACGATGTTCATGCTGTGGCCTCCCTCTTCAAGCAATATCTTCGAGAACTACCGACGACGGTATTAACCCGCGAGCTTCATTTGGAGTTCTTGCGTGTGCTTGGTAAGCATCTCATTCTGATTTCATTCCTCGGTATCATGCTAACGGATTTTTTTTTTTTTTTTTTTTTTGTTGCAGAACTTGATGAGCGAGAAAAGAAGATCGCAGCATTTAATTTCCTTGTACATAGACTCCCGAAACCGAACTTGACTCTCCTACGGGCATTGTCTCAATTCTTGATCGAAATCGTCAACAATTCCGCCGTCAACAAAATGACAGTTCGGAATGTGGGCATTGTGTTCGCTCCGACATTGAACATTCCGGCGCCTGTTTTCTCAATGTTCCTCACCGATTATGATAGCATATTTGACCAGAGCCCCGAGTTTGGTGGGTCCGCTATGGAGTCCTCCGTTGATGATTCCAAAGCATCTGATGTCCTCCGCTCGCCGCGCCGTCAAGTGTTCTCGGATATACCTACTCCTTCTTACAATCAGACAACATTCCGGCATGATCAACTTGAAGATCCCAGGGGAGCTTATGATACTGGCTTGACATATGCACAGCCAAGCCATGAGCACCGCGGCCATATATCCGAGAACTACAACTACATGCCGGCCTCGATGAACCAGATGTTGAATCCTAACATGGAAAACGCTCGCTCTGCCAAGGCAAATAGACGGGAGAGCTCTATGCTCTTCATGGAATTAGGCAACCAGAACCCCTCGATTCCAACCTCACGCGCTGATTAACCTGGATGTGTACTTCAGGGTACACTAACGAATTTCTTTTGCCCAGCTGGACCGCTGGAAGACTCTAGTAGCTAAAGGATCGGTCCTATATCCTTTCACTCGGGGCGTTTGTCGAGGGTATGTGCATTTGCTTCGGGCTTCGACACTCAGATACAGCCCTCTGAATCTCCATATTGCATAGAGGGCCATGGCCCTCCTTCGAGGACAATTACGAACTGTATGAACACATGGAACGACAAATATATACACCCGCATCCTGCATTGCGAGGAAATGTTAATATTAATGTTAATTGAAGGCAAGGTTCATTCTTGAAGTTGACGCGCACAGTTTTATGGGTCTTGTCTTTCCTTCCTTTCACCAGTTATGACGATTCGATTTCTGCACAGATATACTCAATTTGTTTTGTCTTTGTCCAGTATTTATTATATACCATAGCAAATATCCTTTTTCACTTCTTTTCTGTATTACAGAATGCGGACATGCAGTATTATGCTCTTCATGGATGCTCTTTGATTAGCCTGACTACAAAAGCAAATAACTTAGAATCTTCGCGTCCGATCGCCCCTCCAAAACCCCATCACTTCTCCATTCTCCATTACCCAATCTCTGGCACCATCAACCAAAGCCTTTGCCATCCCCTTATTCTTGACCTTCCCATCGACCGACAAGGCATTTTGAGCCAAGCCGGCAGTAGATACATGCTCACCCGTCGCATATTCAGAGCCCATGCTAGGCAGGATATTCTCCCCCGCACTCAAGCTGACGAAGAGGGCAAAAGGGACCAGCCAGACGCAGATCCCAAAATAAGACGCCACCTCCGTAAATGTTGGCATATCCTCGACATTGACTTGGTACGGTTGGCGCCAGTTACCCGCAGATCGAGACGCAGGTAGTGGTTTTGAGAAATGGCGGAACCATAGCCAGTGGTTCAGGCCGACTAGAACACAAGATGAGACGAAGAGAGGGTCCGATAGTTTAACAATGGGGAATCGCCGGAGATTGCTTGCGTATACAAGGTGCGAAACAATACTGAGGGCCGATAGGAAGAATGGGAATCGGTCAAAGAGGAACAGGAGGATCTGGATGGCAATGATGCTGTATATCAACCGAGTCAGAAGTCGACGGGCGAGGACGGTATGTTCTTCGACAAGTTCGGACAGGTAGTAAAGTCCAGAGGCTAGAAAGTGTTAGGTCTTGTCTGATACCATGACTTGTTTAGGTCTCTCTTACCTATGGCCAACGTTAGGAACGCAAATCCCACAATCACCCCCAGATACCCTAATAGAGGTAGAATCCACATTATGAATGAATGAAGTCGCTGGTCGTGGTTTGCAAATTCTGGGGCGTCTACCAGCTTATAAAGGTGCGCAAGAGAAAGATGCCACCTTTTGGAATGAGGTGATGCGCGGAAAGACGATCAATCAAACCACATTGCCAGGCGCAGAGGGAAAGGACCGAGAATATCGACACACCGGAGTGAGAGGAATCGGACAACCGTTACAAACGATGATCCAAGCAAAAAGCAAGTTATAGCGCAAAAATGATAGGGTGATTTGATGTCACTGGAGTTGAATTCATGTGTTTCTCTGCCTCAGGCCACTACCCCACGCCAAGGCCATCCGGGTCCAGAGCCAGAAAAAAAAAAAAAAAAAAAAAAAAAAAATCTACGATGATCTAGGGCATATCAAATCAACGAATACACGACTTCGATTTTACCTATTCTTCTCCCATACATATTGCGAATCGCCATTGATCGGATCACTCAATCGTCCTTTTACAATATTCGACTAGCATTATTGCCCCCTCCTAATTCGTCTGCGCATATATATACGCCCATCGCAACCATGTCGCGCCCTGAAGATGTCTTGTGAGTTGATAATGATATACAGAATTATCTCTTCCATTATTTTTTGAATATCCACGCTGATCCTTGGTTGTGATGAAGGCCTCCGGATCTCTTTTACAACGATAATGAATCGCGCAAATACACTACTTCCTCCCGTATCCGTAACATTCAATCCGACATGACCCATCGAGCCCTTGAGCTTCTCGATCTCAAATCTCCTTCTCTCATTCTTGACCTTGGATGCGGCTCGGGTCTCTCCGGTGAAATCCTTTCCAGTCTCCTCCGCGAAGAAGGCGGGCCACACACCTGGATCGGTATGGACATCTCGCCCAGCATGCTGGACGTGGCTCTTCAACGAGACGTGGAAGGCGATTTGCTACTTGCAGACATCGGTCAGGGAGTACCGTTCCGGCCTGGTTCCTTCGATGCGGCCATCAGTATTAGTGCAATCCAGTGGCTTTGCAATGCGGAAACCAGTGATGTGAGCCCTGAAGGCCGTCTCCGTCGCTTCTTTGAGGGTCTCTATGCCTGCCTTCGTCGAGGTGGACGTGCTGTCTGCCAATTCTACCCGAAAAATGACGCTCAACGGAGCATGATCAGTGCCGCTGCCATGCATGCTGGCTTCGGTGCCGGTATCCTGGAAGACGACCCGGGAACCAAGAACAGTAAATTGTATCTTGTGCTGACGGTTGGCGGTGGTGGCTTGAAGGGAGACATTACTGGCGTTGTCCAGGGCATGAATGAGGTTGATGTCCTAGATGCCAGGAAGAGGGCCATGCAAAATAAAACATCATCGTCGAAAAAAGGCGACAGGGCTTGGATCATGCGCAAGAAGGACCAGATGGAACGAAAAGGCAAGGTTGTGAAAGCGACCTCGAAGTACACCGGCAGAAAGAGACGACTGGCATTCTGAGCGTCGATCTATGTGATATTCTTCTGATTGATGAGATAAAGTGGTTCGTCCGAGAGTTCAATGAAGAACGACCACTTTCGTTCCGGCAAAGCTCTTCAAGCGTTTCAAATCACTGCCGGAGGTCAACAATTCCCACGAACGACTGCTTACTTGATTGGGCTCTCTTACTCTGCCATGCAAGACATTCGACTTCGTCCTGTGATATCATCTCCGGATGGAGGGCATATCGACGATTTCTTAGTATTCGTGTTTGGACGGAGGCCCTAGGGGAGGGGGCTTCTAGAATTGGAGGACAAGCATAGGAGCCGATTTTTCAATATACCCGATATGAAATAGAAGTACATAGTCTCTTTAATGATAAGATGAAATAATACATAGACACGTTCTTTTGGTTCGCAAAACAAGAATTTATATATAGGTGGATATAATCTTACACATCCTATTCCATCAAATTGCCCATCATTTTGATAATCGGCACGACGTTCTAGTTAGTGTTAGGGTGAAGGATAATACATAGTAAGATGGAGTACCTCCAAGTGATCAACGAAGAGAGTTGTTCTTTCAAAGACCCTGTATGGCTGACCTATTAAGTCCTCATCATCATCGTAGTCGCGGCAAGAAAACTGAAATGGTATCCCAAAGTTTACAGAGTCTCCATCTTGTCCAAGACAGCTCTGGTGAATTCGTGAGTGGTGGCCTGGCCACCCATGTCGTGAGTCCTTGTTTTGCTATAAGACATAAGCGTTAGCAAGTGAATCTACTAGGAGGGCATTGGTGAGTTTGGACGTGGGGATTATCTTTCACATACCCTTCACCGATCACGTCGTACACAGCCTTGGAGATACGGTTGGCGTGGTCGTCCAAACCGAGGTGGCGGAGAAGCATGGAACCAGACAGGATCATAGCACTGGGGTTAGCCTGGTCCTTGCCCTTGATGTCCAGACCAACATGACGGCATCCAGGCTCGAAGACAGCGACGTCGCGTCCCATGTTGGCGCCAGGAACCAGACCCGGGCCACCGACAAGGGCAGCGCCGACGTTGGAGAGAATGCCACCGTAGAGGTTAGGCATGACCATGACGTCGAACTGCTGAGGCCGAGAGACAGCTTGCATGGAAGCGTTGTCGACGATCATGTCGTTGACCTCCAGGGTAGGGTAGTTCTCCGCAGTCTTGTGGAAGGTGCTGCGGAACAGACCGTCGGCAAGCTTCATGATGTTAGCCTTGTGAATGCAAGTGACCTTCTTCCGGTTGTTGGCAAGGGCAAAGCCAAAAGCGAACTTGGCGATACGCTCGGACTTGGCGCGGGTGATGATCTTCAGCGACTCAACGACACCCTGGACAGACTGGTGCTCGAGGCCGGAGTATTCACCCTCGGTGTTCTCACGGATGATGCAGAGATCGACATCCTTGTGGCGAGTCTCGTAGCCGGGGATGTTCTTGATCAAGACAATCGAGGCATAGATATCGAGCTCTTGGCGTAGAGCGACGTTGAACGACTGGTGACCCGAACGTTCGACGGGGGTGAAAAGGATACCCTTCAGACCCAGCTTGTTGCGGCGAAGCGATGCAATGGATTCCTTAAACAGCTCCTCCGAGTGCTTGTTGCCCGTGTCCACACCACTGACGTCGACCTGTTCCCACTCAATGGGTACATTGTCGGCCTTGAAGATAGTCTTTACCGATTCGGCGACCTCGGCACCAATGCCGTCACCTTGGGAAATATCAGCAAAACTGGCGATCGAGCTTCAATGGGGATTGCGAGCGGGGCCTGTAGATACCGGGAATGAGAGTGACGGTGTATTTGCCGCCATACTTGGTGGGCTTGAAGATGTCGGACTGGACGCTGGCGAAGGCTATTCATAGATTGTACATGTTAACCACGAAAATGCAATGCAACGGGAGGGTAGTAGGGAGGCGACGCACATCGTGCAGGGGTCGAAGAGCGAACGAAAGAAGTCGACGCCGTAGCGCGACGGAGAAAAGACTGCCAAGACCGATGTTAGACAAAAGGGAAATCACAAAAAAAGAGTGAAGTATGAACGGTTAATGCCGGAAAGGGTTTAGAAGAAAAAAATGAAGAAGAAAATGGAATTCAATCCCGGATTGGGCAGCATAGAGAAGTGACATAGGGGAGTGAGAAACGGGGGGAAAGCACAGTGGGTAAGGTCCAAATTGAGAGGGTTGGAGAGGAGGGGGGTTAGAGGGAAAAAAATGCATACCTGCGCGGGCTGCGCTGTCCGCAAAGAGAACATAATGACAAGATTATGGGAGAGGAGAGGAGGTGGTAGGAGGAAGCTTAACCGTAGGACCCGTTTGGGGGAAGGAATAAAGAAAGAAGGGAAAGAAGATTATTAGGAGGGAGAAAGAGGAGAGAGATAGACATAATGCCGCAAAGAGCGAAAGACGGAAAAAACGGGCGCGGCTCGTCTCGGCAGCCGGTCGCGAGTTGGGCTGTTAGTGCGGGCCCCGGACCGATCTTATCTGCAATCGCATCACTCTGACAGACCTTGCCTCGATTCGGATATCAATCGTCTCAATAAGTATGCTCACCTCAATAAGTCTCTGTTGTTTGAAAATACATTATTGAATCAAACTGTGACAAATGGCAGCCTTATTGATCCTCCTATTCAGACACCTTTCCGGCCACATGGCATTACCCTGTACTACCACCGAAAACAAAGGAAAGAAGCAACATCCATTCACTCAGCAAAGAAAGAGAAAAACAAAGAAGATTTCTTGCAGGTCTTGCAGAGACAGCCAAGGGCACAATGCATCCAATTCCTATCGATGATTGGCTCATGCATCTCTTCTCGAATATGCGGTTGCTTTTTCCCTGCATTAGGGCTAGTTAATGCTATATTGGATCACCTTATTCAGAACCACCACCTGAATAGTGACTGATCCTCCCGTCAATTGAAGCCGTACTCTCTCAATTGACCTTGGTCGCCCTCTTTCTCTCTTTCCATTCTCTGGAACTGCCATTTCGGCGCATGAATAAAAGATGCCTCTATTGAGAGCTTCAATATGGGAATTGCATCTGGCAATTGCCCTGCTTCCATTGCAATATAAATGCCCATGATTCCTGCCTGGAGAACATCAATAACAGCCAACTCGATTCCCAGTCTTCATCAGAGCTCTCTGAAATCCACAAAACCAATTCCCTCTTATTATCATCATCTTTCTTGTCTTCGAACAAACCTGCAAAATGAAGTTCACCCCCACTGCTCTTGTTGCCATGATGGCCGCCACCGTTATCCATGCTGCCGCCATCCCTGCCGATGACGGTGATTGGTGTGCGCTGCCTGGACAGCCTTGCGGGCAGATGAAGCGTGCTGTCTCTGGCGCCTCTGAGATCAAGCGCTCTGCCGATGCCCTTGCCGAGGCCATTGAAGATATGCCGAAACTTCACATTCCGAGTTGGTGTGCTCTCCCTGGCCAGATCTGTAGCAAGTTCAAGCGCGCTGCCGACGCCCTCGCGGAGGCTGCGGCCGCTGTCGAATCTCACTAGTAAAGGTGAGTTGGCTCTCCTTCCCTTTTTCGTTTTTGCTTCTTGTGATGCTAACTCAATATTGCAGTTGCCTTAAATCTTGTACACCATTCGCATCACCGCGGCCTTACTCGTCGGCGAGGTGTACATGACATACTGCCCTAATTCCAGGGGGGTATACCGTGTGAGCAATCATGTTCCCATGGTGGACTTTTACTTGTTTCGGCTATCACATGTCTGGAGAGGGGTTCTTTTGTTTCTGTTTCTTTGGCTTTCTGTTTAAACCAATGGCAGAAGAAAGGGGGGGGGAAAGGAGGGGGAAAAGGAGGGGGAAAAGGAGGGGGAAAAGGAGGGGGGAAAGGAGGGGGAGAAAAAATGTGTGTGTGTGTGTGTGTGTACGTTGATATACATGTTGTTATTTCTCGTTCATTTGGCTTTGTTTGGTTGTATCTAGAGTTATCTATTAAAATGGAATCTCGGCTTCCGCCCCCCAATTTTGTTGAGTAGCACGGTTAAATTATTTCATTCATTAAACCCATGTATTCAAAAAGAAAAAAAAGTAAAAGAAAGACAAGGGAAAACGAAGTAGTATATCAAATTATGACAGTTTTCTCACTAACCCTAATTTTCCTTATTTCCAGTACTTCTCCAGCAGACGATACCACCAAATTTAGACCACGGAATGCCGGAGCTGTTCAAATGCCCCGTATTGGTGCTCCGTTGGCTGCGGGTCTGTATGTTCCCACCATCGCTTGCTCTGGTAAATTGGGTCACTCGCAAGTCTATAGGGAGCACCAGTCGTGGGCTCGCTTGGTGTAGATGTCTGGTAACCCTTTCGCCCAGAGAGTTCGTAGTCACGCTGGGCTAGGACTTCATACCCCGAAACCATATATGGCTCTGCATACTGCTGTCCGTCTTCGTCTCCATCCCCATCCTGTGCCATTTCATCCATGTCATGATCCTCCATAAACGCATTGCCATGGTATTGATATTGATCATTGAGAAAGCATGTCCCTGGTGCTGGGTCTCTTTCTGCTGTCTCTGGGCAAATTTGCCACATTTGAATCAAGCGTGATTTCTGTTCCGGTATGGCGCCCTCAAACAATTCAACTTGCCTCGGGGACAGCGTGAATGGGTCAATGTTATGACTTCTCAGGATATTACTCGTATCAGTTCCCGTAGGGGCTGAATATGTATCAAAGGATTGTTGCTCTTCAGGTCCGGCTGTCTGGGCCTGTCGCGTTACATGCGAGGAATGATGGTAGTGCTGACTGACACTGTATGTAATGGGAGATGGCTGGGAAGAAGAAGTAGGCGAAGCAGGCGAAGAAGGCTCTGGGGTTTCCGGGACCTCTGCGGTTCCCATGCTCATTTGCCTGTCGAAGAGCGCTACTAGATCCTCTTGCAGTTTCAGGCTACTTTCAGACGCTGATAGCCCACACTACAAGTGCATGAAGTCAGTGTATCTGTTGTTTTCGATGTAGGTAATGGGAGGATATTACCTGGCTACAGTGAGGATTCTCAATGAAGGCAGCAAGCAAAGTGGAAATGTCAGTTATCTGTCCACAAAATGGACATCGGTGCAAGATGGATGAAGACATGGCTCGGGGTGCGATTTGCTAATGAATCAATAATATTGTTGTATGAAGAAGTTAGGGCAATTGATGGTTCTTGTTCTTCCAGCAGAGTTCTCATAACACCATTAGGTATTCAAAAGATAATAACGATGGTATAAAAAATAAATAAATAAATAAATAAATCTGTACTCTTCTTTGGGGGGGGGGGGGGCGATGTATTTATTTCGTGGATTATCCCATATGAAAGTCAAATGACTGATATCGGTGCCCAAAAAGAGTGGATTGGGCACTCGGGTGTATAGCCAGCATTTTCCAGGTCATGCAAGAATCAGGAACGAATCGGACGGTATATACGGTGCACGTAGAAAGTACCCTGTAGTGAGTACTATTATGGCTAAATTGGCCTACGGTTGAGAGGTCCTCGCTGTTGCTGCAATGGTTAGCATTACTGGGTCGGATATATACATCGGTTGACGCCGCATTAATATACACTAGCACATACCTATGAACTTTTATTTTTTGAAACTGGTAGCGCATTCAACAACATGTATCAATAGTAGCATAGACACAAACAAATAAAAGTAGTACCAAGAGAATAAAGTACGCCATAGTACGTTGGATTTGTACCCCGCAACCCTGGTATTTGGAGACACCTGAGGCATAAACGGACGATAAGGCAGAAACCCCGTGACGCGACTGCAGCTCACCTCCAGCTACAGGTTGTATCTTATCTTCCAGAGCTCCAACTCACCAGTCAGTTAAACTTACCGGATCTCATCCATCACACACGTTCTGGAAGCAGTACTTGGTGCTTTTCCTTTTTACTTCATCCTAGAACCAACAGTGAAGCAGTTTGCTGTATCTCATCATCTGACGTTCCTCGGTGGGACACCTTGACAAGCCATGGTCTGTCCGCCCTGCTGCCTACAGCGTAATAGCTCCCTCTTGCTAACGGATAACCCAAATCAGACATCCATTGGTACTGGTTACGATCTTTCCAACTCCGTCTTCTCGCCAGATGGTCGGAATTTCCAGGTACAATTCTCATGCCATGAAACAACCGCCCTGAGCTCGTGTCACTAAATATGTCTACAGGTGGAATATGCAGCCAAGGCAGTCGAGAATGGTGGAACAGCTATCGGTATCAGATGTACAGATGGTGTCGTGTTGGCTGTAGAGAAGATAATTACGAGCAAGCTTCTGAAACCGGGTGCGAACAAGAAGATAGCAACAGTGGATCGCCATGTTGGAATTGTGAGTCCCCCCCATCATTCTATTGGGTGACGGCGAGCGCTCGGTACTGATGTATGCAATCCCTGAATTCCAGGTATCAGCCGGACTCAACCCCGACGGTCGTCATTTCGTTGCCCGAGCCAGGGACGAAGCCTCGTCTTGGAGAAGCGCATACAAGGCGCCCGTACCGACCTCGGCGCTTGCTAACCGCCTTGGAAGCTATGTTCAAGCCTTTACACTCTACTCTAGCGTGCGGCCATTCGGCGTGACATCTATCGTTGGAGGCTGGGACTCTGAGGGCGAGTTGGCTGTTGACGGCCAAGTCGGAACCGGACCAAAGTCGGGAGCCGGTGGAAAGGTTGAAGGCGCCAAGGCCGGTGGACCTGGGCTATATATGATTGAACCCAGCGGGCTTTACTGGGTGTGTCTATTTATTCTACTTGCCTGTTATAACCGAACATTAACCTCTTCCCAGGGTTACTATGGCGCCGCCACCGGAAAGGGAAGGCAAGCCGCGAAAGCCGAACTTGAGAAATTAGACTTGCTCTCCGGTAACTTGAGCCTGGTCGATGCTGTCAAAGAAGCCGCTCGAATCATTTATGTCGCCCACGAAGATAGTAAGGACAAGGATTTTGAGCTGGAAATGACCTGGATTAGTTCTTTGCATGGTCCTACCAAGGGAAGACACGAGGAAGTGCCGAAAGAGCTCTTCGAGGAAGCGGAGAATGCAGCAAAGAAAGCGTTGGAAGGAGAAGATGATGAAGAGGAGGAGGGTGCGAAGGGCACCGCCAATGAAGGTGAACGGATGGAGGAATGATCACCCACAGGCTTGGATTGAAATGATTTAAAGACGCCCAGTGTATTCAAAATAGATATCAGATTAACAAGTCGACGCCGCCATAATACTATCGGCAGCCAGTCTTGTGTCCATTTATATTATCCAGCATGATTCTCGGTCCACCTGTTTAGATTCTACCCTCAGCCCAGTTTGCTCTCTTCACGCCAAGCTCCACGGCAGCATTTCCCCAGTCTTCTCCATGGTTGTGCATGCCACTCTTACCCAACCCAGCTCTGTCCAGGCCTTGTTCCTCGTTCAAGAGGGTGAGCACACCAAAGATGACCGGTACACCGGATTCAATTTGGATACGCATCAGCCCATGAGTCACGGCATCACAAATGTACTCAAAGTGCATGGTCGATCCTTTGATCAAGACACCGATGGTGATAACAGCGTCAAATGGTCGAGACGTAGCAGACGATTGTGATGTCGCGGTAGAGGCCTTGCTGAGATCCGGAGTCGACGATGACAACAGATCCGTAGCACTCACGCCTTCGGCGGACGGAGAGCCTTTAGCAGCTTGAATCTGCGAAGCCGCATACATCCTAAATAACGCATTATTAGAATCGTCTGTTTTTCCTTTCAAAGCCTAAAAGTGTTGGCTTACCGCTGAGCAGCAAATGGCAATTCATAACTGCCTGGGACGGTTTCCACAGTGATATTTTCCTCTCGAACACCGGCCGAAAACAGCTGCCTTTTGGCACCCTCCAACAGAGGGCCAATTATCGCCATGTTCCATCTCGCATGGACAATTGCGATCCGGAGCCCAGAACCTTTAGAGGAATCGATGAGCAATTACAATCAACAGATAAAGAGAGCAATAATCCTATCTCACCGTCATAGGTCGGAGCAGCACCTGGTCCTTTCAAAGATGCCATTTTTGCCTCTTTAATCCCTTAGAAAAAAAGGGCAAAAAAAAAAAAAAAATATTTATATATCAAGATATAGCTTCTTTCTCAGTTGTTCGATATAACAGAGTCTGCGTACGACGTAGCATTAAATAATTCCGGTGCCGTTATATGGGAGATATAGGTATCTGGAATATGGTGGGGGATCCGAGCTATGTACTACTGTACCCAATAAATTGCGTAGTGGGATTATACTGTTCATGTATTATTACGTACCCAAGTAGATGATCCCCCACTTTTGACCGCTTCTGACCATCGTTACAGATAGATTATTGTCACAACTGTTACAGAACTAAGATGAACAGGGGTGTCTATCTGCGCTAGTCCAGACAGAGTAGTCTTATTAACTTTTGTATATCATGCCCATGTAAGGCTAACTATGTATTGATTTCATGGAAAATCCCACTGCCACTGAAACCGCGAATCATACCCACTACTCTGTACTCTCTGAACCAATACTCCCCTGTTTGAAACAATGGGAGACAAAGCGCCATGAGTATCGAGACTTTGAAGTAACATTAAGGATGCGTAATGCATGAGTGCAACATTCGCATTCTTCCTGTCATAATAGAAAACGAAGGCTATTAAAGAAAAAGATACGTAAAGGAGTTAAAAGAAAAGACAAGTGATTGGGATATAATAAAAAAGAAAAAAGGGGGATGTGGTATTGACTCTCGTGTCCCACATGTGATCTATCACCATACATTTCCGTTACAGGCCGGAGCAATCTTACTCCACGGTAACTGACTTGGCTAGATTGCGAGGGAAATCAACATTGAGACCCTCCCCGACGGCGAGCCAGTAAGCAACGAGCTGCAGCGGGATAACATTGAGAAGACCTTGAAGACAATCGACAGTCTTCGGAACCTCGATCTTCTCTGTTTGGGCCGAAGAGAACTCGGGGTCATCGTGGTTGCAAATGACAATGGGACGACCACTGCGGGCAATGACTATTGATAGAAGCCTGTGTTAGAGACACTGTCTCATGCGAACCGTTGACATCGTTTGGCTGGTTTCACTCACCTTGTTGATACGCGTTCAGGGACTTCGAGAAAAGGTTGTCACGCGTGAGAATCATGATGATGGGTAGGTTTTCATCCACAAGGGCGAGAACACCGTGCTTCAGCTCACCCGACATGACGGCCTCACAGTGGAGGTAAGAGATTTCCTTAATCTTAAGAGCTCCTGTGTGTAATCGTGAGATACCATTCCAAGTTGAATAGATCAAAGGGGAGGGGGGGAATGGAATGGATGCCTACCTTCAAGGGCTGTTGGGAACTGGCTGCCTCGTCCCAGCAGAAGCAAGCTCTTTTGGTGTTTGAAGAATTTGGCGCACATCTGCTTGATGGGTTCGTTGAGCTTCAAGATCTCCTTGAACTGCTCCGAAACCTTGGCGAGGCATTCAATGATTTCCTCTCGTCTCTTCTGTTTCGAGGCGCGATCCTCGCTGAGAGAAAGAGCAAACATGATCATGGCCACGAACTGCGATGTGTACGCCTTTGTGGACGCCACACCGATCTCAGGACCGGCGTTGATGTGAACACCGCAGTGTGTCAGGAGGGAGATAGAAGATCCGACAACGTTGACAACTCCAACCGTCAAGGCGCCCCGTTCCAGACAGTAGCGAAGAGCCATGAGGGAGTCTGCGGTCTCTCCAGACTGGGAGACGAACACGCAGGTGTCATCACGGAAGACCGGTGCTTGTCTGTCCAAAAAGTCGGAAGCCAGTTCCACGGAAATTGGAATCTCGGTGAGTTCTTCAAAAACACCACGCACGGCCATGCATGAATGGTAGCTGGTTCCACAAGCAACAAAAATAATTCTCCGGCAGCGGCGGATAGTCGAAATGTACTGCCGGAGTCCACCAAGTGTCACCTGCTTGTTGGCAACATCCAGACGACCTCTCATGGTGTTCACAATGGACTCGGGCTGTTCGAAGATTTCTTTTTGCATGAAATGGTCAAATGCGCCTTTCATGATTTCCTGCAGTTCGAGCTCGATGGTCTGAATGGCGCGAACGTTGGAAGTGCCGTCATCCTTGGTCAGACGATGAATGTTCAGCTGACCCTCGTGAACGTGGGCAATGTCATCGTCTTCGAGGTAAAGGACCTTCTTCGTGTGCTCGACGATCGCAGAAGGGTCAGAGGACAGGAAAAATTCTGCGGGCTGAGGAACACCATCATCGGAGAGGAAAGCACGAGACTGAGATCGGTGCAGCAGCGACTTGTCGGGAGGAGCAAGAAGACCCGTGGCAGACTTCTTGATGGCCACATTCTGCGAGGCCTGCTCCGCAGGAAGGGGCTTATCTTCCGAGTACTCGACATCGACGAAGTCCACCTTCATCTTCTTCGAAGTTCGCACGCCGATCACCAAAGGCGATCCCTTGCGAGCCGCAATGACTTCATGAGGGAAATGCACGGACTTGATAAGGAGACCAAAGGCACCTTCGAGTTCCTTCACGACAGCCTTTGCAAGGACGGTGAAGTCAATGTCCGGCTGCTGGTCGAACAGATACTTGGTCAGCTTAGCAATGCACTCGGTATCAGTTTCTGTCTCGAAACGGAAGCCCTTGCTCTCCAGTAGAGCTCTGAGTTCCTTGTAGTTGGTGATGATTCCATTATGGACAATGGAGAATTCCCAGTTCAGGTCAGACCTATTGAAAAAGGAGAATGCGGTTATTTATTAGCACCCTCGAACAGAAAACGGAGGGGGTACCATAAAGGCATATGCAATGAACCTACCTGTGAGGATGGCAGTTCTGGCGGGAAGGGGTACCGTGGGTAGCCCAGCGTGTGTGAGCAATACCAGCGTGAGACTCAAAAGTCTTAGTCAAGTCCGGCTTGCATTCATTGATAAGCTCCTTCAACTTTGCAACCTTTCCGACTTCTTTGTAGGCAGCCACTTCTTTCTTCTTGTTGCCATCAATGGCAAGTCCGGCCGAGTCATAACCACGGTACTCGAGTCTCGAAAGTCCATTGAGCAGAGTGTCCAGGATGAATTTACGATCTCTCTCAACGAGATAGTTGATGTAACCGAAGATACCACTGCGTCCTGTTAGTGAATCTCAAGAATGAGATGGCAACTATGTGATGTGTCCACATACCACATTGTGAATTATGAGTGAAAAGTTAATGAAAGAGAGAGAGGGATGTATGCGAATCAAGCAACGTTCCTGAAAGATGGAGAAAGCCAAGTCAGTAACAGTTGGGTGAGGGGACAGTGTGATAAGTAGAAGGACTAGGATGCCCTACAGGCTGATCGGTTTGGTGAATGAGGAAACAAATAAACAAAGACTTGCTTCTGTACGAAAGAGAGGACGAGATGGAGATGATGAAGGGAAGAATTGGAACTATGAAGGGGAACAGGGAGGAAAGGAGGAAGGGAAGGAAAGAAGGAAGGAGTAGAGAGGAAGAGAGAAGTTGTTGATCAAGATCGACGGACTTTGTGAGGGAGGAGGGGGAGCTGTCTATGTTTTATGTGGTCAGATCGACCCACCACCCAAACCAAGGGAAGCTGCTGCTGGAATTTTTTTTTTTTTTTTTTTTCCTATGGACCGGGAGCCAGTGTTAGGTAAAACTGCGGAGACTCCCAATTACTAGTCCCATTACTACTAATAGTAAATAATGGAGAAAGGAAGTGGCCAACGAGCGTCTGCGCCTCACACAAGTCGGTCGGTATGTCTCACTTGGCCGACAACCACCGTCCCATGGGAATACTAGTACGGAGTACGGAGTCCTCGGTGCATATTCTGTATGCTATATGAATGCCTTTTTACAGTTGGCCAGTCTCCACCTGCTGCCAACTCGCCACGAGAGGTCAAAATTTAACACATTGGATTCAAAGAATGAAGGCATGCGGTCTGTAATGGATTCTCTGACCGACAAAGTGAGACTTGGCAACAGTCGCTAGTATGTACATAGTAGTTGTACAGAGTACATGGTATATATCCAAGTGATGGGCAGAATTGCATGCAGCAAACTACTAGTAGTATTCTGTACAGAGAGAGTATTGAACTTTACTTGAAATATTACTTGCCTGCTATCCGTAGCATGTATGTACTGTACTCTGTACAACAAGGATCATGAAGTATGTACATACTCATTGGCACATTCTCAGAAAGTACTCCAGCAAGGGCTTGCTAGTATTGCTATGTACAGTACTCTGTACGGAGTACTCCGTAGTACAAGTATACATATAGTACGGACACCGTATGATCTAGGATTATGACGTGAGAACCTTCTAGTCCTTCGTTTTCCACGCACAGCCTTTGGTGAATTTTATTAATAGCGTGATTTTTGCTACTTCGGGGTATGTACGGAGTACCTTAATTATCTTCTCTCCCATGGAATGAGGTACCGAATCCATAAGAGAGTTGCTATTTTTGCATTACGGGGTCCTCGGCGCAGCGCATATACTACTATTATTGGGTTGGTTCTCGGACTGCCCGCAAAAGGAGAACGGAAAACTGTTATATGGGAATTGGGAGATGTGTTTCAGTTGTCAAAATCCCCGAGTGATATGCCACTACAGTACTACTAATATTAAAAATAGAACATTGACGTATGGAATAGAACTACTCTGTACAGAGTACGGAGTATACTCCGTATATATACGTAGTATCACCGCATCTTTAACTCGCTGTTTACCGCAAAAATGTATGCGAGTGTACTCCGTACCATACATAGTACGAACAACAAAACCTCCTGCACCCATGATATGTGAGGTGGCCGAGAAGTTCAGATTGGCATACTATATTCTTTTGAACTTCTCCAGTTTCAACAGGAAGCGGTTTCTCAACATCAGTTGAAAGTGATGATTTCGGGCGATGAACACAGGGATTCTGGTGTAGTCAGTCATATCCCGCCGTCATGTTTCTGGAAAAGCCTTTTCTCTCTTTTTTTTGTTCTTCTGCCCGCGCGCCTATCCTCTGCCTCTATTCCGTACCCGAGAGCACATACAGAATTTTTTTTCCACATTAGGCTCTCCACAGGATCTGTCTCGATAGAATCATATTTGTTGATAATTTCTTCTATTACTGGTCATTGCTATTCTTTAGGGTGTATTTCCTCCGTGCTCTATCCCCCGCCACTCAAGCCATTGTCGCCGTGATTTGCCTGTTCGCGCGCCTGGGTCGCGTTAATCGGGAAGTTCTCCAGAGTCCGAACACTTCCTACGAAAAGACACCAACACCCGCTCCTTGTATTATATACCAATTTACCTCAACTCTTTCTGCCTTTCTTTTTCTTCCCTCCTATTCCAGTCTCAATATCTTCTTTCTTTTAACCTGAAACTTCACACCTTCTCTTGTCCAACTTCCGGTGTTCCCTCCTTTCAATGCTCCATGCAATTCCAATGAAACCTTAGGTCTGAGGTTTTCCATCTCGCCCGCGTCAGGAGAGCTTCCTGGATATATGTACTCATACTAGGCGATCCACGTTTCGTTAAGGATGCTGCCAAGTGATCACGGCATCTCGTTATTTGGCGTGTAGCCATCTCCCACCATGTCGCGCTCCTCAGCCGGCTTCGCAGATTTCTTCCCCACTGCACCGTCAGTTCTCCAACAAAAGCGCTTCAGAGCCGCCCAGGAGTTGCCTCGTCCGAAACTTCAGAACGAGCACGAGAGCAATGAGGAACGCCCTGCATGCTTCGTGGAGTCAAACACCGTCAAGGATGTGATGCATGGTGGCACGTTTGCTCACCCAGGATCGGGGTCGCATGATGAATCGGCCAAGGTATCGTTTGAAACTACAGGAATTGGATCTACGAGCTCTATGAGTACAGGACCTTCAGCAGCTGGTTCTTCACTTTCCCTGAGCGGTGCGCCGCACTTGAATGAAATGCATCCGGACACACTTACTCCGCTCACAAATGTCGAATCATCACCACCCTGTAAATCAAGTCCCCAACCGAGCAAAATCATGAATGGCGTTACCAATGCCAACCAGGTGAAAGCTCGAGGCGAAGAGCAACGAGCTGCTATAACGCCTCTGCACACCCCTCCCACTCCTCAACCGCAGGAACATGCTGTTGGAAATAGGGTCAGCGGTTATAAGTTGGTCTACGATCCCGATAGTGACCGGCGGTCATCGTCATCGTCAAAGGACAGACGGAGGAAACCGGAATATGTGGACATTGTTTCTAACGAACAAAATGGATGCCCTCCGGATCCCCGTTTGGCCATCCCGAATTATACCCGGGGGGCCGGGTGCAAACAGAAGCCAAAATATCGGCCGTCTCCTTATATGTTGAAATCGTGGCCTTATGACTCGGCAACTACGATAGGCCCTGGGCCTCCCACGCAGATAGCGGTCACAGGATTCGATCCCTTAACCCCAATCGCGCCAATAAGCGCGCTTTTCTCGAGTTTTGGAGAGATTGCGGAAATCAACAATCGCACCGATCCTATTACTGGCAGATTTTTGGGGGTTTGCTCCATCAGATACAAAGATACCAGTTCGTTTCGAGGAGGAAGTCCAATACTTGCAGCCAGCGCGGCCAAACGAGCCTACCTCGAATGCAAAAAAGAGCAACGCATTGGAACTCGCAGAATAAGGGTGGAGTTGGATCGCGATGGCATCCTTGCGGAGAAGATTGTGTCCAAGGCTACTGATCCTCGGAGGCTGGGGCATAAGAAAGCCGAAGAAACAAAACGTGATCCCCAGTCCAAGAGGAATGAGCCTCCTCCAACAGCGCCGAAAGGTCCTTCAGGAAGATCCTCGATGCGCCCGATGCCTGCTGTACCCGAAGGGCCGAGGGCAGTCTTTTCGAAGCCCGCCGTACCATCTCTAGTCGAAGAAACACCAGTGCTGAATCAAATCAAGCGCGACCCATACATCTTCATTGCACATTGCTATGTGCCAGTTCTCAGTACGACTGTTCCACACCTGAAAAAGAGACTCAAGCTGTTCAACTGGAAAGACATCCGTTGCGACAAGACCGGTTACTATATCATATTTGAAAATTCTCGGCGCGGAGAGGAGGAAACTGAACGCTGCTACAAGATATGCCACATGAAGCCGCTGTTTACCTATATCATGAACATGGAAAGCCAGCCATACGGTAATCCTAATTACGAGCGGAGCCCAAGCCCTGAACGACTCGAAGCGGAGAAGAGAGAGAAAGCCGAAGCAGAAAGACTGGAAAAAGAGGCCAAAATTGATGTTGAGGAAGAGAAGAAACTCCGGGTGATTGATTTGGACCCTTGCAGGGAGGTTTTGACCATGATTATCCGCGATTTGAAAGACAAGCTTCTCGAAGATGTGAAGTCCCGCATCGCAGCCCCTGCATTATATGATTATCTTGATCCAGATCGCCATGCGGCCAAGAGAAAGAAATTAGGCATCCCTGATCCGGAGGGAACCAGACGACCCACATTTCGTCTTGATTTCGATGCATCCAGCGAGACACCGGATTCCCGCTCGGAGTTGTCCAATGTTCAACGGCCTTTCGGAACGTCCAATCTCAATGTCCTTGCCCTTCCGCGGATTCGAAAGGCGCATCGCTTGAACCGGGCGGATGCTTTCTTGGATGAAAGGCGCAAACAACCTGTGCGAAGGAGAGAAGTGCGGCCTCTTTACCACCGGTTACAACAGCTACATGATCATGATGATTCAGATGACGACCAAAGAACACCGTTTGCCAGGGACACTGACGAACAGGAGAGCCGGCCTCTTAGTCGAATGAGCTCAATTGATTCGGGATCTGATAACGATGAGCAGTCTATGTCTGGGACTTTACAAACCTCGGTCACTGAACTCCCGGTACGCCAATATTACAACGAAACGGAGGGAGACGATATTGTCACAGAGAGCGCAGCCAATCCGCAATCTAATGACGCTAGCGGCCTTTCTCCGACATCTCGCAAGAGAAAGAGAATTAGCGAAGACCATGAGGCGCGCAAGAGGCAAAGGGAAGACGAGGAACCGTTTGGTATTAGCTCTGTTGACAAACCTGAAGACGAGCACACAAAATCGCCCGTCTCACTCGCGACAGGCGGTGATAGAACTGTTACGGATGGTCCCCCAGATATTGTACTGGGTTCTACGGTATTGGAAGAGGATCAAAATTCCAAGGAATCCTCAGAAAGATGTGACCTAGAGGCTTCCATGTACGAGAAGAACCATGCTGAAAAAGTACATGTTTTTGGTGATGGTATCGATGAATTGGACCAGCCAGAAGAATCAAAAATTGAAGTGGAATGGCGGGTGTCTAACGATGAACCCCGTCCTACAGTCCTGGATGACGAGGCGATTATCCTGGATCTCGATGGTTGGCAGAATCTGATAAAGGATGAAGAAGATCTACATTTCTTGCGAGATGTTCTAGCCAGCCAACCGAAGGCCAGTCTTGGGAACTTAGCAGCATGGGCGTGGAGACAAAAGGAGATCAAAGCACTGAACCGTCCTGGAGACCTTGGCCCTGTGCATGAAGAGACGATCATTCATGGTTATTACGTCGTTAATGTAACAGGTGCTGCTCGAACGGAGGGAAGGAAGAGAATTTTGGAGTCAGAAAAATCAAAATACCTGCCCCATCGGATTAAGGTCCAGAAGGCTCGGGAGGAAAGGGAGGCCAAAGCGAAAAGTGACCCTCAGGCCACTGCCGCTGAGGCTGCCAGAATCGCCGCTGCGAAAACGATTTCGAAGTCAACTTCAAGATCAACAAGAGTCAATAACCGCCGTCTGATTGCCGATATCAATGCGCAGAAACAAGCCCTCCCCATGCAAAGCGGGGACGGCGATGTTCTTCGCTTCAACCAGTTGAAGAAACGGAAAAAGCCTGTTCGCTTTGCTCGATCTGCGATCCACAACTGGGGACTTTATGCCGAGGAAAACATATCAGCGAACGATATGATCATCGAATATGTGGGAGAGAAGGTACGACAGCAGGTGGCAGATATGAGAGAGAGGCAATACTTGAAAAGTGGCATTGGTAGCAGCTATCTCTTCCGTATCGATGAGAACACCGTCATAGATGCCACGAAACGGGGCGGCATTGCCAGGTTCATTAACCACAGCTGTACGCCTAATTGCACTGCCAAGATCATCAAGGTCGATGGCAGTAAACGAATCGTTATATATGCTTTAAGGGACATTGAGCGAGGTAGGTGTCCTGTGGATACTGGATCCTGGAACATGGTAGAGTTGGTCTGGCTAACAATGATCCAGATGAGGAATTGACTTATGACTACAAATTTGAAAGGGAATGGGACAGTGACGACAGGATCCCATGTCTCTGCGGCTCTACTGGTTGTAAAGGATTTCTTAATTAATACAGAAATTACCATGGAAGCTATTCATTTTCTTTTCTTACTCTTCGCCTTTTTCTACACGGCGCTTTGATAAAGGGTCTTTATCACGGAATTGGTCTTGAGGCGTTTTGGTTGAAGCCTGGGAAAAATTATGCGAACTATTCAGGGCCTGGAACTTTTCTTCTTTTTCTTTTTTCTTTTTCTTCTTTTTTAATTCCTAGCAATGCTTTTTGTGTTTTGATATGCGAAATAGCTGACAACCATGTACCATATATTATAGAATAACTGTCACTATGTCAGGTGGACCATTCTACAGATAGAAGAGCCCAGGCCACTATGGGATGATGCACTTTCACACGACTAATCCCTTGCTTAGGAACCCCTTCTGTACATTATACCGAGGGGATTATTCTCAGCCCCTGTTGTTCGGTGAGCATGCATTATATTTAATTTGATGCGCATATTTGTACTCTGTACAGAGTAGAGCGCCCATGAATCATCTACCCGAAGATTCTCAAACTGCAAAAGATCAGCAAGCAGTCAAAACATGTGCAATTCATCGAGATCGAGGTTCACGGACCCAAATGACTGGGGAGAAGAAAATTTGCAATTCCTTCTTTGATCATATACTCATGGCCACAGTTCCCACATTTCAATTTCCCTTCCATGACCTGGGTCTCCAGAAGTAATCGGTGCAGGTCCCTCAGAATCTGCTCATCATTCAAGGCATCACCCTCTGGTTTTGTGTCTGGAATTCTGGGGAAGCCAAGCTATAAAACATCATCAGTATAAAGCACAGCAACAGTGATCAGACAGAACTTTGAAAGTTACCTCATTGACAGTTACCTGCAGTCCATCCCAATCAAGCCTGGGAATAATATGCTGTATGAATTCTGCCTGGAAATCAAGCTCCTGGAGTTCAAGTTCGGCATCATGAAAATGAAGTGGAAATGATGCTGGTGATGCTTTACAACCCTTGACAGCACAGGTCATAAAATTGGCAGTAGCTACTTTCATTGTTCCAAGTGATCGCTGAAGGAAACAGACAGAGGAACGAGAAAATATAGGTTGTGTTTAATGATTATGCTTGGGCAAAAAAAAAAAAGAAAGAAAAAAGGACTATTCGCGGTTGAGAGGCTTGTGTTTGTTTTGTGTTTTAGAGCGTGGTTTTTTTTTTTTTTTTTTTTTTTTTTTTTTTTTTTTTTTTTTTTTTTTTTTCTTTCTTTCTCTCCCTGGGCCCTGCGACTGCATCAAAACCTTACTACTCAGGGCTAGCTCTGCTATGAGAGGTTATTGGGAATTCTATGTATTCCGTGATTCACCACTGATATGTCACTAATATCTTGAATGATGACTAGGGTACTATCTGATCAAGACATCCACCATGTCTTGGTCTGCAATGTCATAATCTATGAGGCAAGCATTGGAATCCAGCAGATCACCATCAAATAAAAGATAAACATGCTTTTCAGCGGGTATTCTTTGTGCATCCTTAAAAGCAGAGATGATTTGGGATACTAGAGTCTTCTGGCTGACTTTAGTTCCAAAGTCATCGAGTTCAGGACACCTTAAAATAATCTTCATTAGCACATCTCGCTCGTCGTTCCCAATATCGAGAAAATCTGGCCCAATTTGAGATTCGGTCGTGGATGATGCTCGCAATAGTTGTTGCTGCCTTTGTTTGAAAATAAAGAAATCATGTGTAACTGCTTCCATATGGATGCGCGGCCCGTCGTCAACTGATGGGTAATGGAGGTCCGGAAAGCCATCAGAATTGTTCACAACATTGACGCCCAAGCTTTTACATGTCGTGACATCGAACAATCGCCGGCCCTTCCACGTCAGAAATACAGACGATTGCAATTCTTCAGTAATACCTTGACGCTTGCACCATGCTAAGCGGACCTCTCTCAATGACTGAGAAGCTTTTCGATGAACAATCAATGGTTTTGTGTTTTCAATTGCTGATGTTATCAGTATTTGGACGACCACATCATCTTGAATGCTCTTGTCACGCCGGGTTGCCTTATATTCGGTTTTGTTATTATCACGTAGAGTTTTTCCAGAGGCAGGCTCATCATCAGAAAAATCATTCGTCCCCTCGCGCATACACGGGGCAAATTCGGATGGATGATTGCAATGCTCGTTGACCTGGCTATTTGACTGAGTGTCCGCTACAGGTCCACAGTTTGACGCAGGGATGTTATGATCATGAACAGTATCGCTTTCATGAATGGATCTTATTCGCTGCACCTGATGCCAGCTAGGCTGCCTCTCCTCTTGTAATACGCTGGGGGAGCAAGGTTCTGGCCTAATAGAAGAGTTCTGGTCGCTTATTGCTCCGGAGATCTTGTCTGATGGTGTATCCTCTCTTACACCGGCTTGACTTGAATTTCGACGGTTCTTAGATGTCTTGCCATCCGCTCTTTGATCGTCACAGACAGATTCAATTGCCGATCTTTCCCGTGCTTCTTTTGTCGCAGCGATGATATCAGCATAAGTGTGCTCCGAGCGTCGATAGAAATCAGGGACTGAATCCTCAATTCCCCTTTTTGCCCAGGACGGTCTCCTGAAAAAAGATCGCATAGCGTGATTATGGTTCCTCCGGGCGTCAAAAAGAGAGTATCACCTTATGTGTGAATGGAAGGCCTCTATATTGGTGTGGTGTACGGAGTAGAATAATAAGTGAAGAAATGCAATAATAATGTGGAGTGGACAAATCTTGGCGCGTCCTGGATTTATCTAATCATCTGCATATCTCCACCACAGTACGGAGCTCGGAGTACATAGCATACAGTAGTACTCTGTACTCTGGTCCTGCTCAGCAATCATATCGGCTTTTCTTTTCCTTTTTCTTTTTCTTAACCAGCGCTTGACATTATCCTGTAAAGTCGACTAAAATGGAGAACGGTGCGCCGTCTGATGGCAAAGACCCATCAGCATTCCTCAGTGAAATTATTGGAGTTCCAGTAACTGTGAAGCTGAATTCTGGAGTTGTCTACAAAGGTTATTTCCCATTGTGTTGATCTGGTTATATCTGGATTCTGACATCATTTCTTTAGGCGAACTTCAATCAGTGGATGGTTACATGAATATTGCTTTGGAAAAAACTGAAGAATATGTGAATGGAGCTTTGAGGAAGAACTTTGGAGATGCTTTTGTCCGCGGAAACAATGGTTTGTTTGTACTATCCTCTTGGAAATTGCAAAACTAATGTGTATATCTGGTGAACTGCAGTTCTCTACATCTCTGCACAATGATTACCACATGCCATTGACAAGGCATGTATCATGCCTATATAAAATATGATGCCACCGGCTCCTGGAGCGACAGCCATAACGGAGAAGGGAAAGGTCCAACGCTAAATAGAGGGAGGCCGGGATGGGAAAGGAGAAAAGGGAGGAAGTCAATGATAAACCCCGAGAAGCACAAGCTCTTTATTGCGAATAGCAATCTCTTCTAAGCAATTTCAATCCTGTGGATATGCAAGTGTATGTCCAAATGGACTTGATGGGAGCGTACCCTTAATATACCGAATCATAGTAGTGTGGTTCTGTCTTCCGATTCCTGTGAAATATTATGGCTAATCGATTTTTTTTTTCTTTTTTTCTTTTTTTTTTCCCCCCGGGCATATTTATTATTCGGTTTCTCGTTTATACTTCAAATCCGATAATGCAATGACGAGGCATAAGGGTATCAGGTACCATTCGCATGTACAGTACTCCGTACTACGGAGCACGAAGCCCCACGTGTAGTGCTCCGTACTCCGCAGAGTTTTTTATCTTAAAATAAGCGCAGATCACCCCACCCCAAAGATCACATTCCAGAGTCAATTTCACACTGCGGTAACAGCCCTGCATCCTCACGAGGCATGCTGAATCACTAACAGTTGCTTTAGAATTACATTCAGGATGACGCTGCAGGCTATTCGATACGCTAATGGTGACCTCACCATAATTGATCAACTAAAACTTCCGTTTGTCGAAGAATATATACCTATACGAACAGCTGAGGAGGGCTGGCATGCAATAAAAGAAATGCGAGTGAGGGGTGCGCCTGCCATTGCCATTGTGGCTGCACTTGCACTTGCATCTGAACTTCACCAGCTTGTCATCAACAACAAGCTGTCGGCTGTTGCGGAAGAGGTTCAGGTCTTCATTGTGGAGAAATTACATTATCTCGTCACTAGCAGGCCAACTGCTGTCAATCTCAGCGATGCCGCCCACAAGCTCGAGGAATTGGTAACCGAACGTGCGAATACAGCAGGATCAGCAGGCCATGGTATCGCCACTGCTTTTATCCGCGCAGCTGAACATATGATGGTAAAAGATGTGGAAGACAACAAAAGGATTGGGCAAAACGGGGCTCAGTGGATTCTTGCGAATGCTCTCAAGTTGGGCGTGTCTAAAGCTTCTATTCTCACACATTGCAATACAGGGTATGTTATGCAATCCATTGATATTGTAATTTATCTAATCATTCTTCTTTGAGTAGTTCCCTTGCGACTTCTGGTTATGGAACAGCGCTCGGTGTTATTCGCTCTCTCGCCTCAAACAATGGGCTGCGCCATGCATATTGTACAGAGACTCGACCATATAATCAGGGTTCCCGTTTAACAGCTTTTGAATTGGTTTATGACGGTCTCCCCGCTACGTTGATTACCGATTCGATGGCAGCTGCTCTACTCGCGCGGACAGATGCCGACATGAATGCGATTGTAGTGGGAGCAGACAGGGTGGCAGCCAATGGGGATACTGCAAATAAGATAGGAACATATGGCCTAGCAGTCCTGGCAAGATATCACGGTGTCAAATTCCTTGTCGCTGCACCGCTCACTACAATTGACCTGGCTACTAAATCAGGCAATGAAATCACCATTGAAGAGCGTCCGGCTTCTGAGGTAACAAGGATCAAAGGTCCCAGCCAGAAAGATGATACTACTGGAGCCGTGTCTTTGGAAACTATAAACATCGCAGCAAAGGGAATCAACGTTTGGAACCCAGCATTCGACATCGCGCCTGCAACACTCATTGATGGTATAATCACAGAGGTCGGTGTTGCAGAAAAGGACTCTAACGGACATTTTCACTTGGACCGTTTATTCTCCTAATGCTTCGGATATTCGTCTTGGCTATCACCGACCTCATTCTCTCCTGGCTTTTCGAATGCTGCGAGAAGATCATCGATTCTGCGCTCCAGGTTGCACAACTGATTTTCTAGCGCAATAGTTGTTCGTTCACCACTTCATATGAAGTTAGATTGTAAATTTGATATTTATCTAGGTTCACTTGGGTAGGATACTCAACAATGTTTTTGAATGCCTGTTATTTGAGGTTATAAATAGGTTCCATCCATTTTTTCGAAAGAGTCGGGGCAGGGATCACTCACTTGGGCAAGTTCAGCAGGGCTGTATGTTTTATGATCACTATCATCCTGTGGCATGTTTGGTGGGTACTGATATTTCCGAGTCAGTTGGCATGATAGTAGTACAAACCCACCGCTTTTGCCATGGTGCACCACAGTGATAGAAGAATATGTCAGCTACAATAGCAAGTAAAATACTAAAATGATATACTTATAAATATAAGATTAAAGATAGCGTAATCGGTAAGCGAGCTGGACACCAATGTATCCCACACTAAATCGCCATTTTTAGAACTGCAATATTCACCGCTTTTAAATATGGAGGCCTGTAAGTATGATATACTTAGAGACAGGTCTACAACATATGTTTTTCATTTTCTAGGATTTTTTTTTTTTAATTTATTCGCTATATTCGAATATACAATATCTAAAATTATATATAATTACAGCGTAATTTATATTACCTGGCCACACAGACATTCCAACAACCTGATCACTTATTATGTGTTATAAATATATACTATAATGATTTATTTGAAATCTCAGTTCAAGTAAAAGCTTTATTGTTGAGATATTGAAGTCTCAAAAGGGCGATTTAGTACGGAATACGTTGTGTCCAGCTCGCTTACCGATTACGTTACCTATTATATTCCTGAATTAGGAATTAATCTTTTAAGTCTTAATAAAATGCCTGGAATAACTACTATATTTACAAGAATAAAATTATACTATGACTACAAAAATAATAAATACAGTGGGGGTAAAGATGCACCCGGCGATTTCACTGCCCCCTTTACTGCCTACCTAATACGGTATCAACATACCTCATGTATAAGCGCACGCGCGCTATCCATACATATATACAAGATGCTCTGAAATAAAGGCAAAGAACTATCCCCTTAAGCATGCTCTTGAATACGCAAACTAGACATGGCATAGAAAGCCCAAGGCCTGTGTTAGGTTCGATCCCTAACCAGTGCGCTACTACATATATAAATTCCTGAGCATGATGAGCGGATGCTCATCATATAGTGTTTCGCCTGATTAGCAAGCCACCAATTGTCACGGCCACGCATCTAGGGCACATTCCAGAGAGATAACCGCTGCGTCAGGAGCAAAAGACTAGGATACTAAGCCTGTCGGCTTAGTACTGCGCTCACTTATATAGTTAGGTGGTTCATGCCGCTACACCAATCTCTTTAAGAGATGCCACTAGTAGCCATACATTAGAGTTGGCAAACACCCATTCTATTACCATCAGTGGGGATTAGACAGTCAATTCATCTTATAGAATTGGAATTCTTCTATTACTATAGCCTCATGCAGTCAGATTATTAACTCTTCAATCTCTTTAAGTTAGTATAGACTAATTAATCAATTAATGACTACAAGTCCTACCCTTAATTGTCTTTCTATGCAATTATTGGCCTATAATCTGCTCAGCAAAGCCTAGCAAATTATAAGAATGCTATGACAGGAGAATCTTTAAACTTTAAAAGAAGAGAGGACTCAACCCTTTAATCCATGAAAATAAAGACTGGAAGGACAAGAACTGATTAATAGATCACCTTCAATAAATAGTCCCAGTGATGGTGTGTTGACATGAATACTTATGACTAAATAGGTCACCTTGGTACCTTTTTGGCCGAATGGTCTATAAGTTAACATGGTGAATCTAAAGATAAAAATAATGAAGATATTAGAATTAATATTGAAGACCTAATTTAAATTTTTTTTTTCTTTAAAAAAAAAAGACTGGTTAATGTGTATTAGTTCTTAATTGAAAAATTAAATATAGAAAATACTTATTATTAGCTTTAAATGATTAAAAAGCAGATGAAACTCCAGAGCTATTGAAGTGCAATCTTACACCATAGAAAAATCGAAAAGATATTTTTTGTATTTTTTCAATAATATAGCATCTATGACTACAAAAAGCTACAAAATCTTTAGAAAGCAATGTACCTTCGTCTAGTGTGTGTATGCCTACCCCCATCTTATAAATAAGCCTCTACATTTATCGGTGGCTGAGATATTGAGGTTACAAAAAGTGCCATTTTGTACGGAAAACAGAGGTGATCCACTCGCTGGTGTGATCTATTCACTGGTGATTTACGTTAAATACTTTCATTAACATAAAACTTATACCTAATGCTGGCTTGAAGTCCTGCAGCATATAATTATTTAAGCATCTTCTTAATATAATCATAGCTTATGCTTCACAGCATTCTTTAACATTAGAAGCAAAATCTTGAACTTATCATTGCTGCAGAAAAACATGTACTAGATGAAGAATAACAGAGTATTTAAGCAACCTTATCTAATAGAACTGACTCACTCCCTAGAGGCGATACTTAACATTCCAGGGCCATTTAATAACAATCCATCTAATGGCCCTCCATATATTTAGAAAATCTATCTTGATAACACCTTTAAATAATATAAAGAATTTTGTTATTAATGCCTTAGTCACAGAGAAGATCAACTAGTTAGAAAATGATAGTTTTATAATAAAAATCTTATGCTAGTAACCTATCTAAGAAACCTATTTAAAACAACTTTTTTGAATTTTATTACCGATAAGTTACTAATTCTAAGAGTTTAAAATACTACACCTATAATACAGGCTTCAGGACTATCAGAGAGCTACTTAGTTAACCCAAGATGTTACAATTGTATTATAAATTACTGAGAGCCCTAGTGAGTCCTTGGTCAGTTACTATATAAATGCATGACCTTGAAGGATATCAAATGAAAGAAATGCAATAAAATCATAAAAATCTTATAAGAACCAGCTGGTTCAATAACATCAACAACTCAAGAATCTGCCTTAATAACGTAATTGATCACCGAGCTGGTCAGCTGGCCACATCCGTGACCACCTACTATTCATACTTGCAATTTATCCACAACCACAACCATGGCTGATAATTCAAAAGAAGATCACAAGAAACTAGCTCTAGAAGACTTTAAAAAGGGTATTTTTTTTATCAAAAAATGCAGGCATATGATGTGTCTCTCTCCACCTTTAAGACCAGGTTAAAGGAACCACATGCAGCAAGGAATCAGTTGCCATATCACTGAAAATTGACACCTACTGAAGAAAAGACATTCTCATAATG